CCGTATGGACTTCTGAGGACTATCCTAGCGATTACGCATTTAGATGTACCAGAAATGAGAAATATGGTTTTCCACTGGGTTCTATGAGACCGACTACATAATGTAGAAATATGTGTAAAGACAGCCAGAATGAAAATGATTCAAAACTGTTTATGGGAATATAGAACGTTATATGAAAATCATAATCTCTGCAATCAATCTTCTCTACGCAAAGCAACTACACTTATTTCCTGATAGCAGCCACAGTTTCGCCAGCATCTGAGCACCATTACGCTTATCAAAATGCTGTACTAATGAATGAATTCTGACATTTTAGGATCAGAGCTTTTTCACTTTTTAGACAGTGAAGGAACTAATAGTCATCTTTACTTGGAACTGAGACTTGAAAGTTGATAGTAACGTCAATGAATGGACCACTCACTGAAGTCTGTTCCCCAAAAGGAAAGGATGTCTTACAAAATGAAACGTTCTGTTTGGCAAAATGTTCTCTTCTTTATGATGAACCCACTTTATTATGGAATAATAAAGGAAAAATAATACCTTGAGTTACATGCGCAAAAATTATCTCCAAATGCCCTGGTATGACCGAGAGTGGGGAAAGTTATCTCTCCCTCTCGAAATGCTCTCACATAGCCATGCGTATATAGCCTCTGCCAGGGAAGTCCTACTCACTGTCTTCGCGCATCACGAGTGTTGTTTACGAAATTGAGAGAACAAAAAGCGAATGCCCGGCGCTTTAACCGGATTCCAAACCAATGGTGCACATGGTCTCCAGTATCCTGCGGGAACAAATGGTGTATGAATCAATTGTTGGTCACTGGCCACCATGGGACTGCATCTCCTCACGATGCTCCACTGCCTCGTGTGTCAGACCTTTAGGTCAAAGGCTCGGAGTGTGGCCCCCTAAGAAGACCATCTGCTTCGGTCTGGGCACCCGGGCAGTATCACAGCCCACACACAAATAAAATGAAAATGACGATATTTACTGAAAATTCTATTCACGCTTCGATTAACAGTCAAACAATTCACATTATTATTATTTACAACGTCACTTATTCACTCTCTTTTAGTCCCATTTTGTGTATCCTTACTTTTTGACTTATACAGCAGCTCACTTATGGTGGAAATTCGAATGTATCTAAACGTTCTCGAGTCACTGTCCGGTTGAAAATTGTATGTTACCATCGAATATGAGTACTGAAGCAGTTTTTCTGAAACCACGTGCATCATTCAAACTGGCTGCCTTCAACGTTCGCACACTTATGCAGGTTGGTCAACAGATAGGGCTGGCTATGTCTTTGGAAAGTCTTCATATCGATGTCTGCTGTCTATCCGAGACCCGTATTCAAGACTCTGGTGAAGTACTACAAATTCGATCTCCATCTGTCGCTTCGAAAAGCTTGTTTTACGTGCGCTTATCCGGGGACCCTGTGGCATCTTCGTCTGGTCTTGCTGGCGTTGGTGTCGCACTAAGCGCTAGAGCTGAGGCAGCACTAATCGACTGGATCCCTATTAACAGTCGGTTATGTGTTGTTAGATTAGAAAGTTCCATCAAAGTGAGAAGAAATCGGTGTGAGAAACGATGTCTCTTCGTCATCACCGCCTATGCTCCGACAGATTGCAGTCTGGATGCGATCAAGGATGAATTATACCACCAGCTAACAGTTCTTCTACAGGAAGTGCGTTCGACAGATATTGTGGTACTAGCCGGAGACTTGAATGCTTAGGTCGGGCGTCTAGGCATAGAAGGGAACCGTTTAGGTGGCTGATGGGGACTTGTTGGTCTCAGGACAAATAACGGGGATCGTCTCCTGCAACTGTGCGCAGACCACAACCTGCTTCTGGCTAGCACTAACTACTGGCACAGTCATCGTCTATGTGCTACCTGGTGTCCTACCTCCGCATCTCAAGCCTGGACTCAGGTTGATCACATCGCGACCAGCTACCGCCGGCGTGGTTGTGTACAAGATTGCCGCTCCTTTTGGTCTGGGAACTAGAGAGTGTACCAACATCATGGAATGACTCGACAGTTGCCCTCATTTTTAAAAAGAATTCACGTCATTCGTGTAACAACTATCGGAGGATAAGTCTACTTCCGATTGCGTCCAAGCTATTGGCTTCCATCATACTTCGTAGGTTGTTCAAAACCCGAGAAAGATTGACTCGCGAGGACCAGGCTGGGTTTTGTTTTGATCGAGGATGTATTGATCATATCTTCACACTCCGCCAAATGTTAGAACACCGTCATACTTATCACATGTCAACAATCGTAGTGTTTCTTGACATCAGAGCTGCCTTCGACTCGTTGGATGGGACTGTTCTCTGGGATTGTCTATTGAAGAAGGGTGTGTCTGAGAAGTTTATTAACATCTAAAATACCCTATATACAAACACCTCAGGTAGAGTGAGGGCATACAACCACCTCTCTCCATTGTTCCATTCAAGTAGTGGGGTTAGGCAGGGTTGCCCAATCTCACCATACCTCTTCAACTTTGCCATCGATGACATTCTGGAAACAGCTCTGATATATATAGGTAATGGCTGTATAGATCGGCTGCCTGGAGAAAGACTTCTCGACCTTGAGTATGCGGACGATATTGCCTTACTGTGCGATAATGCCCAAGCCATGCAATCCGCACCTAATCAGTTGGCAATCAGTGTCCGTAGGTATGGTATGTGCCTTGCACCTTCGAAGTGCAAAGTACTTCTACAAGACTGGCAGGATCCCAATCCTGTACTCAGCCTGGATGGTGAGCAGATAGAAGTAGTCGAGAAGTTCGTGTATCTAGGTAGCTGCATAAGTGCTGGTGGGGGTGTGAATGATGAGATCAATGCATGTACAGTGAAAGCCAGAGTGGCTTATGCCAATCTGGGCCACCTTTGGCGCCTTCGTGATGTTAGTCTGGCTGTAAAAGGTCGGATCTACAACGCGTCGGTGAGAGCAGTTTTGCTCTATGCTTGTGAAACCTGGCCTCTCCGAGATGAGGATGTTAGATGACTCTGTGTTTGATCATCGTTGTCTCCGAAGGATTGCTGACATTCAGTGGCAACACCATGTTAGTAATGCAGAGGGTCGACATCGTGTGTTCGGGCGCAGAGACGACAATTCAATTCGTGTCACTATCTTGAAAAATCAACTTCTGTGGCTTGGACATGTTCTCCGAATGTCGTCCCAGAGAATTCCACGTCGTGCATTATTTGCCGACTCTGGGACTGGTTGGAAGAAGCGGAGAGGTGGTCAGTGTATGACATGGTGTCGGGGTATGAAAGAAATCTGCAAAGGGCTGGCCTGTGTTGGTCCTTCACGACTCTCTGGCTGGGGTCCGAGGGATGGTGCTACACAGTGGCTAGAGACGTTATCAGATATGGCTCAGAATAGAAGCCAGTGGCGATCCTGCTGTAACCTTTTACTTTCTTCATAAAAGGTGGTTACTACTTCCTTAACTGAAAGAATTCTTCTGGTTGTACCTTTCCTTTTCCACCATTATTATCATTACTACACTACTTTACACTAATCTGTGGTCGTTATTGTTCTTTTTTTCTTATACGCATTTTACCTTCCTTTTACTCTCTCTCCATTTTCATTGTTTTTTGTTGTGTATATATATCTGGTGCCCCCTTGTACCAATATTTATGTGTTCAAATAAATACATAACATACGCAAATCTTAAATCAGTCTAATACATTACAAGTAAAATGAATTCTATCTACTGTGCGCTCATGAAATCTGTGAACATGCATCTTGTTGATAGTAACATTGTAAAAGCTGGTGACTGAATAAACATGAGTTATTTAATGTACACTGATCCTGATTTTCTCCCTGCTCACAGTATATTCATCAATGTTGTCAATAATATTCATGTTTCAATACACGACATAAAGCTGATCCTAAGTTGCAGTCCTGACGCAGTGCAGTACTTTGACCTAATAGTTATCAATATTATAGATCTATTTCATATAAATCCGCTAGTTTTTTTCCAGATATTTTTATTACACTATTAATTTCTTGCAATAAGACATAAATGCTAAAAATAACAATGATATGTGTATATACCATCTTTTAATTAATTCACAACCGATAATAATAGGAATACTTTGTTTATTAAAAATCAAGCTAATTTTTTTAAGAAGGTAGTTCAACAAATGTGTGTTACATTATCAATACGTCATGACAATATTGTAGACAAATTATTACTGTGACACAAATATACATAAAAAGGGACAAATAAAATATACCTTTACAAGAATCAATCATATATATATATATATATATATATATATATATATATAGAGAGAGAGAGAGAGAGAGAGAGAGAGAAAGTGTACAATAAGGCTGTACAAACCTGCACATCTATATCATGAAGAATGTGACACAAGAAAAGGGAGAACCAGAAAGAAAGAGAGAGGAGGGGAAGAGAAATAGAAGTCACTGAACAATTATCAATCATATACACAAAGGAAGCACACATTGACAATGTTGAGTACAAGTGATTCGATGATTTTTAAAGAAAAGAAAAAAAGTCGAAAAAAAAATTAGAGGAAAAACAAAATAGAGAAAAAAAACATATTCAAAACTGTTTCACTGAATGTTGTTAATTCGAATACAACTTTACTTAAATAAATAATTTGTTTCTTAAAAAAAAGTTTGAAACAAAAACACACTAGAAAATAGATAGATATATATAATTCTCTCTTTCTAAATTGTAAATGCATACACTTAGAATATCCACTGACAAAATAAAAAAGACAAATAGAGAATAAGCTGATAGTCAAAATAATAATAATAATAATAAAAATGAATAAGAAGATTATGTGTATTGTTTAAATCGAGTCATTGTAAGTTTGTTTTTAATAACAGAAGACAGTATAAACACACACATATCAAAACTTGACTTACATTATTGCTTTTATGCGTACACAAATGATTCAAAAACAAATATTTCCACACAAAAAAAATATCCATCATAATTTCACCAAAATACGATTATTAATATTCATATTCATGCATCACCAAGTGCTGGTCTAGAGTAGATAACATCTAAACGAAAAATATGAAAATAAAACAAACAGAAGAACAATGGTTGAGATGTTTATTTCAACACATAGATAATGGTACAAAGAGGCACTAAATACATATGCGCCACACAAATCTCATTTGATATGTGTGAGGGCTGTCATACTACCCGGGTGCCCAAACTGGAGCAGGTGGTTTTCTTAGGGGGCCACTCCACGAGCCTTTGACCTGAAGGTCTGATCCACAAGGCAGTGGAGCAACGTAAGGAGACGCAGTCCCATGCTGATCAGTGACCAACAATTGATTCATACACCATTTGTTCCCGCAGGATACTGGAGACCATGTGCACCATTGGTTTGGAATCCGGTTAAGGCGCCGGGCATTCGCTTTTCGTCCTCTCATTTTCGTAAACAACACCCCCGTCACGAGAAGGCAGTGAGTAGGACTTCCCTGGCAGAGGCTATATACGCGTGGCCATGTGAGAGCATTTTGAGAGGGAGAGAGGACTCTCCCCACTCTAGGCCGTACCAGGGCATTTGGGGTGAGATGAGACAAGTAAAAAAAAACAAACTTTGAAAGTTATTTTCAAGATATCATTACACCTATTTCATAATGTAGCATTTAATTCATGTAATTTCTACATTTCCCAAATTAAAGGGTTTCATTTCAATCATTAATTGGTGTCCTATCGTACTCTGTTCCCAATGTACATCAGATTAAGCATATGAATATTATTACTGCTTTCCAAATTTGTGTTCTATGTTACACGCTATTTCTTATTTGTGGTGTGTTTTGATTCTGTAATTCATGCATTAAATCAAATGAATTTTAAAGCCAGAGATATAAGGAGATCAAGTGTTGGACTCCCGTATGCTCATTGGACCTTGGAGAACAGAAAATTTATTCTGACAGTGATTGTTCGCTTAGCAAATTCATTTAGTCAAGATATTAGTATATGGTTAACAAAATTGAATCTAAATGTATTTCATCACCAAGTAATAACATATGGTGAGTCATATTATATCATATTTAGAACATTACAAGTGATCACTATCGTTAAAACAGTTATGAGCACATAGATTCAACGACAGTAGTTGATAAAAAAATATAATAAACTAACATTTCATTTACTTGAAAAGTTCATATTCACGAGTATGAAGATCACACCATACTGTCAAGTAAATATGAAGTTATAATCGCCTACCTACTTTTTTAAATTACTAAGACAAATTCTAATGAAATGAATTCCTTCTTTGTTGGTTCAAGCTTACTGATTCTAAATATTTCTGATGTTTTATGAAGTGCAGATGCCACTAGAAAATGTTTATAAATATTGCAATAACAAGGTAAAAACTTGAGCGTTTTTCTTTCAAAAAAGAAAGCAAGCATTCAAATGAATACACTAAAGAGATTCCAAGAGAAAAATTCACTTTATAAAGTAACTGATATACCGACAACCTAAGAAATTATTACAGATAGGTTCACTTGAATAACAAACAGTATACTAACACAGTTGGGATCAGTCAGTTTAGAATGAGTACTTAGAAGACTCAATAACTGGAAAAATGTGATAACAATATCAACGCAGTCAAACGAAAGGAGTTGACTGTAAAAAAATGAACTCAAGTACTTTCTACAGGTGAACAGGCGATCACCACTTCCCAATTCCCTACACCGTAAAACGACGCTTCTTCTTGAGATACCTAAAGATGAAAACTTGACTACTAGAGTTAATTTCACGCTTTGAGGCATGATCAAAGAGCACAAGGGACAATTGTTTGAGGCCTACAATACACATTCTTTTCGCGTGTACTTCTTGATAGGTTAACTCTGTACTTTAAATGTGTTACCACAGAAGACGGAAACCCATAAGACGAGTGTGTTATTTGTAGGACTGACATTTTCTAACTCACTGCTTCCATTGAGAGAAGGTGACACCGCTGGAGACCATGGTTATTTGAAGAAAACATCTCACTACCAACACACCCCTTAATACAGTCAGCAGTACGAAATTCGCCGTCGGAACCTGAAGTTCTGCTTTCTTCAATGAACCAGTCTGACATTGTAGTAACTAAAGGAATAAGTATTCCAACCAATAAAGCTCGATGAATCATCAAGATAAGCCAACCAGACTACGTCAAGTTAACAACTATAATCAGAAATATCGATTCACTTTTTAACTCAGTGACTAATAGGGCTCGTTAGTGGGGTAATTATTCTAGAAACGTTTTTTAGAAAGAAATCGGAGTGATGCACGAAATCTAAAGATTACTGTTGATAACAACAAAGATTGCGGGATTTATTAGCATAAATACAAAATGATTATTTTTAAATATACTGGAAAGACAACATATGAGCTTCATATAAAAGGATAGACAATAGTGATGTAACAACTATCAACTTATATATCAGGCTTTAAATTTTACGTTGTACGAACACCTTAATGGTTGAAGCAATTGACGTTATCCACTGGCCTGGAGGTTTGGATTCTGCCCCGCTTGCATCTGATGGATAGATAGGGTAGCATAAACTAACCTTCACATGAAGTAATTAAAAAGCTAGGTACTTGGTTACTTTATTCTTTATATGAGGAGTAAATTATGTTGTTTGACCGAAGAAAATGTAGTGATAGAAAGTTAAGTAACTAGATTACTGAGTAACAACTCAAGTGCAAAATGCAAATGTACCTGTGAATTCGTTTTTCGCCTAATCTAAGTAATAGTGACCAAAAGTAGAGTCACACAACAGTAAGAAGGAGGTATAATAAAACAAAATAAAAGCACATTCTCGGGACTTTGAAACCAAACAAACAGAATACAAAAACGCACCTGTGTTTATATGAGCGAACTGATTCTTCACGAATTTTTCTAACTGCTCTCCAGCTAACCAAACGTCTGAGTCAGCAGCATTATATAATTCGGCGTTATAAAACATAGTACCTAGATCATGTACTAGTTTCTTCAGTCCTGCGCTGGTAGTTTCCGTGTTATACCGTCCTTCAGAAAGCCAATCACGCATCATGGACAAATCGATAGGATCTGTGATAATTTCATAATAATCGGGAACCTAACGGGAATAATGAATCCAGTTGATAATAAATTGAAACGACATGAATGATAGAAACTAATAAAAATCATCGAAGATACAAACGAACTTTATAGGATGAAAGCTGTGAGTACTGTTACATACAGGATAAACTCAGTTACCACAAAGGTACACGGTGAAAGATAGATGTGAGGAAGTTTTAGTAGGTGAATTATTAAACCAGCCCTTTTTATTGTATCATCGACTAGTTTATTACGGGATCCCACAAACAGACACGAGTTCAGCATATAATTCGACTTTGACAGTAAAGCATCTAATCTAATCTATATCTTCTATCTTCCCATACCTGGTTCGTCAAGAATCAGGTACATGAAAGTGAAAGAATCAAACCATAAAAAACAACAATGTTGTTTCTTTAATCAAAAAACAATCTCTTTAAGGAGTAATATGAAAACCAACTTTTTAGAAGACCTTTGAAAAAAATCGATGGAATGAAAAGGTAGTACTTACACCTCATTCCACAACAAACTTTCCCATAACATATTTAGAATAGTAGTATTGAAATGAAATATTATTGTGGCTTTAACTGGCACACAAAACACTTGGAAACGCACAAGACAACAGGAGCTCGTGAACTTGTAAAACGTAAATGCATTTTATACTAAGTGAATTAAAAATCACTGATGACGAAAAGATGCATGGAATTGACAGCCAAAAAGAATGCCTATAATGAAAGGAAAACATTCAAAACGTTACCTGGCTTCTATCAACAGGTTTTCTGAACGGCCATGAGTGTTTGTGCTTATACACAGCATCAAGAATGTGTGAACATAAAGATTGAGACTTTTCGTCCATTTGTTCTGTTTCTGAAGTATCCTCCTGATCAGACAAGTGTCGTCGTCTACGTTTTGGATATTTATTTAGTTGTGAACTAAGAGCAGACGCTGATCGTGAAGCACTACGTCGACGGGAAATTGGACGTTGATTATTAGAGCGGATATCTACATCTGAAGATGCTTCACTCGATTGTTGTTCATCATCAGTGTCAGACATTGCGATATTCCTTCGAGATCTATTGTTACTTCGTGTTGAACGAGTAAAAGATGTACTATTTAAAAGTTCATCATCGCTACGTTCATCTGGACTGACAGCTCGTTTCTTGAAAATTGCTTGATAACTATAGATAAATAAATGAAGAAACACGGAATATGGAACGGAAATATAAGCAGAAAAAAGCGAGTGAAATAAAAATTAGTGGAATGATTTTTAGTTCACACTAATGAATTACCGAAATGAAAAAGACAATAATTAGTTTACATTTAATTGATTAGTTGGACCTTTTATCTTACAAAAAACTGTACTCACAAATTTGGTTCTATCTAGTGAAACAAGGTGATATTCTGGTTAAGAAACGATATGTAAGTCATATAACCGATCGTTATAATTCCATACATTAGTGAATTTTAGATTAATAAGGTGATTAATGTAATAATGATAGACAATAGTACCCACGTTTTTCGACGATAATCTCTGCTTTGAAAATAAGAAGTAATAGTAGAACGTTTTTTATTCGACCGGCAAACTGAACACTGCCAACCATCTCCACGTGGAATATGATGCAATGGGGGATCATGACAGTCCAGATGGAATACATTGGGACAGTTGGAACATAGAACCAAATCACCAATTGAATCTGAACAAACAAGACAGGATGTATCGTGTCTGATATTTCTAGATGAAACTGAAGAAAACAAATACAGAATTAATATCAATCAAAAACACAGAATACAGACAGTTTAAAAAGGAAATTTTACCTGAATTACGATTGGCTGGACTAATTGAACGTTTTATATTGAACGCACTTGAGTCATTACCGCCTTTGGATCGAAATGAACGGGGATTTCGACGTTTGATTTTTTGAGTAGCTTCACTTTCGCCACTACTTTCTTCATTATTATCGGAATTTAATTGTTCTTCATCATCAGATGACAAAGCACGTTTTCGTCGTCTTGCAGACCGAGCTAAACGTTCTTCACGCTTACGCTTTTCAAGGGCACGGGAGGCTGGTCCACAAGTCGGGCAGAACCAATCACCTGTTGGTACACGTTTTAATGGTGGACGTAAACAGTAGAGATGGAAAGCAAGATTACAACCGTCACAAAGTAGTAAATTATCATCATCTGTTTTCCGACGACAAATACGACAGCGCGCATCTTCCACTGACTTTTCCCAGCGAACACATGCATCCAGACATGCCTAGTTATAAAGAAGTGAATGCAAATCACATTAAAAGGGACGAGAATTTTTTCATCATGCAAAATATTAACCTCCCGCGAAACGGAGTTTAAAATTCCCGGTTAGTAGACAGAATGTTTGTTGAATAATTGGAATTTTTGAAAATATACTGCTTAGATATTGAGGATAACTTATTATTGTTTAGTAAAACTGTAAAATATTTTATCATGAATGCTTGATATATTACAGATAGAATTTATCTGAATGTGAACAATCGGAATATATGATTGACACTGGACAAAGCAGGTTAATCAGGACTTAATGAACACTAAGTACCTAATCATCCACGGGTGATTTGGAGATACGCATCAGTACTTAAAACAAAGTAGCGAATGGACTGTGTATGTTCATAAAAAGGATAGTATCTGCTTGTTAGTATAGTATAACAATGGACATAGCCTTAGTTATTTGCAAAATACGCTTTTTGAAATATTGATAATAATCAGACGAAAAAATAATTTTACTAAAGAAAAATCACATCAGATTTAAGAATAAATAAATCACAAACGCAGATATACACTTCAAACATCCCTTGTGTAAAACTATTTACAAGGTTGTATGAACAAAACCACTAAGTGACCGGTTGGTTGAAATGTGTGAACTAGTGTGTTAACGCTACAAAATCTTTTTACATATCGAAAGAAGATAGTAACACAAGTTAATATTAGGATGAAAACATTCTACAAGTGTTCAATAATAATCACTTTGTTATCAAGTACAAAGCCCCCAAATGCCCTGGTGCGGCCGATAGTACGGAAAGTCCGCCCTCCCTCTCGAAATGCTCTCACATGGCCACGCGTATATAGCCTCTGCCAGGGAAGTTCTACTCACTGCCTTCTCGCACCACGAGTGTTGTTTACGAAATTGAGATAACGAAAAGCGAATGCCCGGTGCTCTAACTGGGTTAATAGGCATAGAGAGTCCACCTAAGGGAGTTGGAAAACCCTGATTCCAAACCAATGGTGCACATGGATTCCAGTATCCTGAAGAAACAAATGGTGTATGAACCAATCGTTGGTCACCGGCTTCCATGGGAATGCATCTCCTGACGATGCTCCTCTGCCTTGTGGATCAGACCTTCAGGTCGAAGGCTTCGGGTGTGGCCCCCTAAGAAGACCACTTGCTTCAGCTTGAGCACCCGGGCAGTGTCACAGCCCTCATACAAATCAAATGAGGTTTGTGGCGCATATGCATCTGCTGCCCCCTTGTACCAATATCAATGTGTTTAAGTAAATATATAAATAAATAACCAAGTACATAACCCCTGTGATAAACTACTGTTGTCTTTTACTGGGTAATGGGGAAAACCAATTTATTGTTCTATGCAAAATTACACAGTGACTTAGTAAAATATGAAAATCATACATAAAATACATCATCTGCACATCTATCTTGAGTTGTTCTTTACATCATCATTCATACTTCTAATCCTGTAGTTATTCCATTTGCTCTCTGTTTCTTTCCTCTCCTCTTTATTTCGATCTTCTGCTGATAAGTATTTTACTTCTAATCCCTGCTACATACTACATATGTCTGTCCGCATAAGTAACACACACTTCAACTATTCATTAGTCGCTTAATTAGCTCAACTGAACTGTGTAGAATTGATATGAACTTATAACTCAATAAGATTAACTTTGATTATCCACAACAATAAAATTAAAGGAAGATATAATTAAACTAAATCGAGCTTTCCACAGAATTACATGTAAGAGATTTAATCGGGTCAGTGTACGAGCATTTTGAACTTCAGTACGCCAAGCTGTCATCCAAGCACGAGTTCGTAGTTCATGAGCTTCAGGGTCTAAAACAGCTTTCTCCAGTTCCTGTGAACGATCATTACTTTCAGATGCGTCTGAATCTTCTCCAGATGAAAATCTACAAAATGGTACATGATCTGGAAAGGAAGTTTTTAGATCATGACAATCATTTGTTCCATTTTGATTAGAGTTGAATTTTGACTTGGTGCAAAGATCAGGAACGTTTAAAAAGCGAGGTATTATATTTTCAGCTACTTCAATAAGAGCAATAGCAAGTCCTGCTTTATTTGGCAATTCACATAGACTGGATAAAGCTGACAGATTTGGTTTTGAAGACAAATTTACATTAAGAGTTTCTTGTTGGATTCCATAGGATTCTTGGATTTGTGCTAAACGCTCTTGCCATTTTGTAAAATCTGGTACACCACCGAGACCACCGGATCTCAGACGAACCTCGGTATCTAAAATATTCTAAAAATAAATCAGAACTTCTGATAGAGACTATTTACATAATGTCAGTATATTGCAGACAAAATATAAATGTTAAAGACAATCCACTTATCAACCGACAACTTGATTAACAAAGTACAGATAGTATTACGTACAAAATGCTAGCAATCTGTATTTATAGTCACGTGACTATGACCTTCAATAGAATTGGTTTCTTTACTTCATTTTCAAATACGTAATGACTCAATAGGTAGAATTTATTTACTTGATCTATTGTGAACTATTCGTGCCGTACATCAAGCGCATTCGTTAACACATAGCTCCGCGGTACAATATTTCATTCTTTCAAATGGATTGACATTTATACTAAAGTATTTCTAGAGACCTTTTCGGAGATTTTTGTCCATTGTATTTCAGAAGAAATAAATATCCGCTCCTCACATAAGAGTTCTGAAGCTTTTCCACATTAATCCCAGTTAAACTTAACTTTAAATATATGACAAACGAAAAATCTATGTTTTTTCGGCCGTGTATATATAATTATTGCACTGAACACTTTGGTGATGAAGCCCTTTAATAGACTTGAGCAACAATGTAAGCCACGTCCGGACTTAAATGTTCTCTTTTTAAACTCAAATTGCTTTAGGACTGGTTTGAGTCAACATCTGAACTAATGATAGGAAGCGAAGTAGTTGAGTGCGTTGATGTTCGCCTTTAAGCCAGGTTCAGGTTCCGATTCCACTCTACATATCTTGTTATAGGGAACCAGATGGTATCATTAGCACTGTTAGCCAAATAACCTGTGTAGAAGCTAATAATAAAGTTGGTATCTGAAGAATTGTCGACAAAGATTCCGAAAGATCGGTTGGACTGTTCCAACTTGCGAAGTCGGCAAAATATCCTTTTGCTAACGTAAGGGCGAGTGTACTGCGTTCTAGTCTATGGCTATGAAACAGTCCATAAATATAGAAGACATGCGCCGGCTGCAGGTTTTTGATTGCAAGTGTCTTCGAGATATTTCTTTTACATCGTGGAGCGAATGAGTAGGTAATGTTGAGGTGACTGAGATGTGTTACGTATGCTGAATCAACCACGACCTCAACACTTAATGTTGTCAAATGTAGTAGTACGCTGGAAGAAAGCTAACGACAGGCAAATCAAGACATTTATCAGTTTACGAAGTCATCGGCTGCTGGACTGAGTCATGTAGGTAGATGGAGATTACCTGGTTGGGGACCATGCGCTTGTCATAACCAGTGGATAGAAATTGGGTGGCGCAGGTGCATTCATTCATTCCATTAGAACCTGAGACCCGAAATCTCGTACTTTTTTGGCCTACACCTAATCTTTTTCATTACTACTGATACTAGTACTACTCCTTCTATCACTCTAACATTTATCTTGATAATTTTATCTCGACGTCCTTATGTGGTATGGTAGCTTGAGCTGATGTAAGTGTATCGCGTTCTACGGTGCATATGAGACTAACAATGAAAACCTATCACATATAAATTATGACAAAATTATTTGAAAAATACACCATTTTATGAACTTGTATCTACCAATGAATAAAAAACAAACATAAGTAACATCTTCAATTAATATAATCACATATTAAAAGTAATCAAACTTACTTTTAACAATGCTCCTGCCAAAGCGGCTCCAGCAGGAAGATTACTATAATAGGAAAATATTTCACATTTCTGTTAATCATAGAAAACTAAACCATTACAAATTAAATTGGAATTGTGTAAAATTAGTGTCCCCGATCGTCAATGCTACCTTGACGTGGTGGTCGAACTTACCTATCGTGATAAAACAGTGGGACTATACTGGTTGGAACAATCGTTCCTCAAGGTTCTAACATGCCAGGAAAGTCAGTTGACGAACGGTAAGATTGAAGACAGCAAACCCGAGGTCTGAAGGCGAAGTCATACTGCTGACTGTACAGAGGCATGACGGCAGTAAGGTGTTTCTTCCAGAAAACCAGCATGACAGCAGTGCTGTCTTCCCACAAAGGAAGGGTGGAGTTAGAATAGATCGACCCTAAAAATGCACACCTCTCCTTATTCCACGGATATCAGTCTCCGGCGGTAAGGTCTCAACAAGAACGGAGCTAATACGAAAACTGCCCACGAAAAGATAGTATGTGACCGACCTCGAGCAGTTGTCCCTTTGGCACTGCGGTCACGCTCTCAGGTCACTAAGATCAACTCTAACCCAATTTCATTTTCAGGTACCTCAGGAAGAACCTTACCACAGTGTGGGCAACCGGGAAGTGATAACCGCCCTTATACCTCTAATAGCACTCAAGAACACTGTATTCATAGACTGACTGAAAATTAGGGTCTACCACGGCAATCAATCAGGTGAACTCGAAGCTGTCAAACAAATCCTCATCAACGGGCATTGACTACGAAGGATAAACATCAAACTATTCAAGAACGAAGAAAAAAGATAGAATTAGTCCTTAGTTTTAGCATGTCATAGCTAGACTGTTTTCCCTTTTCTTATCACAGACTTTTGAGACGTGAAATCAAATAGAACAAATTGTACTGATAAATTGTTGTTTTAATTCGAGACTGCATAGACTGTTGTCCCGTCAATTAAGCAACTGATAAACGACTACAAGTAATACAATTTGCCAGAACCCGTATACACATGCACAGACTTAGTTACTAGTGCCCTATAAAATGAATATTAGATTAGAAAATAGTTTTAAAATAGAAAAATGACAGGAAAACTCTGGAAAATGCAAAACGTTTCGGATAACTAAACTTAAATTTTATGTTTCATATAATTAGCCCTTGTACAGAAATTTGAATAAAGCCAGAATAATACGAATTCTTTTCACTTCATGGTTTATCATCAGCTATTTACAACTATATCCGTATTGAAGTAAAACATTGAAACGTGTTGATATTTAAAATAATTATTATAATTTTTAACGTTTATGCTGAAAAAAATGAAATAAATAGATAACTAGCCATGGTACCATAAGAGATCCAAAACTTACCGTTTATGATGAGGTGGATGTTTTTCTACATTTATAGGAGTACCATTCGTCGTGTCAGCTTTAATTACCAATTCATTTGAGAGACCACTTCTCCATCTTTTTTTAAGTGACTCCAGAAATCCATCTGCCAATAACTGACTTTTTAAATGACTTTCTCGAACACCGCGAGTTAGCAATGAATTTAACAATTCATCTAACTGTTCAGGACGATCATAAAAATACCAATTACTCCAGGAACTTGAAATAGTTCCACTGTTCAATGTGCCATTTTTTACAAAATCATGAGCAGGTTGTGGTATTGTTTCATCACTCAAAGTGGTAATTGGGACAGATTCATTTTCTACAAACAAAAAGCGTGCCAAATTCTAGATTGTATGGAGAAACTATGAAAAAGTAAATTGCAGTAAACCACTTAAATGTATCATATCAATACGTATATTGCCCCCAAAGACCCTGGTACGACCGAAAGTGGGGAGAGTTAGCTCTCCCTCTCAAAATACTTCCACACGACCTCGAGTACACAGCCACTGTCAGGATCCTAAGGAAACAAATGGTGCATGAACCTAATGGTGGTCACCGGCTACCATGGGACTGTATCTCCTAGCGTTGCTCCACTGCCTTGTGGGTTAGACCTCCAGGTCAAAGGCTCGGGGAGTGGCCACCTAAGAAAACCGCCTGTTCCAGTTTGGGCGCCCGGGCAGTATTTCAGCCCTCACACGAATCACTCGATTTGTGTGACACATATGTATTTGGTGCCCCTTTGTACCAATATTTATGTGTTCAAATAGATAAATAAATAATTACGTAAATTAATATATTAAGGAAATATTAATTACTTCTAAAGGAATCAACCGAATACATGATACTTGAAGAAGCCCAATTAGCCTCCAAAAACAAACGATCCGGAGAACAACGGAAATACCAAACACGACGATAATATCTATCATAACCAATAGGGTTGTTTCGTAGAACACATTTTGCTTCTGTAGACCGAATATCATGAAGTCGACTAACTGTATTAATTGCACGTTCTTCAGCATGTTCTTGAGCCATTTCCAGACGGCGTTGACGTTCCAGATTTTCTTTTTCTTCCTTTTCTATTGCTGCTCGTGCAGCTAGAATTCGTCTGCGTTTTACAATTGATGCTAAGTCATCTGAAATAGTTAATAGTTACATTTTAAAGTGTTTGCTTCACATTTATTTTAATCAGATATGTAAGTCAAATGTTCTATTACGCTGTGATTAATTTTTACATTATTTTTTCATTTAAACAAGCGAGTAAATCATTTTTAGAAACAACTTACTTTCAGAATCTGTGATATCATCAGCAGTAGCGGTAGGAGTGTCTGCTTTAGACTTCGACTCATCAAGTTGATTGGTAGATATATTATTGCTATTATTATTATTACTGGTGGCTTTGTTAGCTTCATTTGCATTATCTTTTTTGTCTTTTTTTCGTAAGTTTTTATCACGTAATACCTGAATTTTCCTTTGCCAAGCATCAGCTGCACGACGTTGACATGCCATAATATGATCATCTATAAGATCAAGATCGAAAATTTTATCCACTGCCCATTCCAACGCTATTACACGTATTTCTGGAAACAGTTCATGTAGATCAGAGTTGGATAAGTGGTGTATAAGTTGTGTCACAGAATTCTGGTCAAATGGCTAAAAATTTGAATACAAAATGAATGGTATTCTAGATATACACTCAATCGAAAATGATTATATAAAAGAAAAGAATATATACAGAAAACGCAGCCTATCACAAGTGTTTAAAATGAAAACCGTGTTTCCTTCCAAAGCAGAGTTGAATTGCGGTTGTGAGTGGAAGTTAGGGAACACTATTCGTTGTGGCTGAAATTCGTCAGCTGGATTTGACTGCATCTCAGTATCCATGTTTAAACCGTACTTCCCTTTGCAAATAAATAATTTATGAAATATATTAGTCTAAATTCCTAAATAAAAACTCTTGCACTTTACTTTGAGGTCAGTTACAACGTAGGACCAGGCACATCCATGCATCGGTCTAAGTTGCCATACCTCATTAGCACAATAAGATGAGCACCGAATTCATAGTAGTTAATTCAATGGTGGTAATATATGGAAGAAAGATTGCATATAACGATATAGAACAGGAAGAAAGAATTAGTACGTAGAAAAATACGAAGCGATTTTAATCTCATACTCTAAGGGAAGGCAGAGAGTGCATAACAACCCTCATACTTCTAACAGCACTCAAGACCACGTTTGGGTTTGGCCACCCCGGATTTTCTTACAACCATTCCAAATACTAATCAGCATTGCGCATCGTGGTGATCGGTGTTCAGGCATACGCAACACGTGGCCCAACCATCTCAGTCGATGAAGATTTACAACCTCATCAACTGATTTACCATCATTCCCTAATACCCTGCGTCGAACCTCACTATTACTTACCCGGTGATCCCAGTAGATGCTGGCAAGATTTCTAAGACATCTGTGGTCAAACAATAGTAACTTACTAGTATCTCCTACTCTCAATGGCCATGTTTCGCTGCCGTAAAGTAAAACAGAACAAACTGCCGAGCAGTATACTCGTCTTTTTGTTGATAGACGGATACCTCGCCTTCGCCATAGGTGACATGAGTTGGCAAAAGCCAAACGAGCTTTTCGAATCCGTGTAGAGATTCCGTCAGACACCAACCCATTAGGGCTGATCAGACTTCCAAGATAAGTGAAGTTGTCAACGCGTTCGACTATTTAATTCCCTATCCTTAGTTCAGGTGTTGACATAGACCAGTCCTGAAGCAACAACTTGTATTTAGAGGGGAAGGAGCGCATCCCAAAAATCCTGGCATTGTCGCTCAGTGCTATAAAAAGAGTGAATTTTATCAGCGTCTTCACCAAACAGGACTGTATCATCTGCGTATTCTCAGTCGATAAGTGGACATCCTGGTAGGAGACAAATGCCCGAAAATTCAGTCGACGAGAGCCTTATCTCCATCAGCATATGCATAATAAGGTTAAAAAAATTGAGAAAGTGGACAGCCTTGACGAGGGAAATTGGGTTAGAGTTGATCTTAGTGACCTGAGAGCAAGACCGCAGTGCCAAAGGGACAACTGCTCGAGGTCGGTCACATACTATCTTTTCGTGGGCAGTTTTCGTATTAGCTCCGTTCTTGTTGAGACCTTACCGCCGGAGACTGATATCCGTGGAATAAGGAGAGGTGTGCATTTTTAGGGTCGATCTATTCTAACTCCACCCTTCCTTTGTGGGAAGACAGCACTGCTGTCATGCTGGTTTTCTGGAAGAAACACCTTACTGCCGTCATGCCTCTGTACAGTCAGCAGTATGACTTCGCCTTCAGACCTCGGGTTTGCTGTCTTCAATCTTACCGTTCGTCAACTGACTTTCCTGGCATGTTAGAACCTTGAGGAACGATTGTTCCAACCAGTATAGTCCCATTATTTTATCACGATAGGTAAGTCCGATCACTACGTCAAGGTAGAGGCAACAGTCGGGTCGAAAACTAATTATAGGAGCAATTATTTGAAGTTTTTCTATAAAACCTTGTACGGCCCGAAGTTATCATGCCTGAATAGCTACTGATAAAAGTGATTATGTTAAACTGAAAAATTCATTCAATTAGTTGATAGATTAACATTGAATGAGAACAATGGTTGATTCAATTCTAAATGAGTTAACCCTTCAATTTTATTTTTAAATAATTAGTGTTTTTAAACTCTTTCCTAATTCACACTTTATTCAATTAAGCTCATACCAATAAATATTTTATTCCCAATTAATTGAATAACGGCTTACTTCAAACCTAAAGGGTTTTTGTAAGCGTTCTAATGTATTTTCCAGAGGCATTCCTCAGAAACGATAATTAAGAGTAATTTTTTTTATTCGATATAGATTCTTAGGATCCTTGCTTCACTATGTTAATGTACATAGTCGTCCCGACGGTGTACATACACCAAGATTCGGAAAAGACAGGGATGATTATGACCCTTGGGAAAGGATGACACGAAAATCATGAAAGGTGCTCATCCGCATCCATGATCGGACTTGTCTATCTTGATGGCCAAACCGAGTTATGGTGACTGGAATACTTGTTTCTTTAGATCGTACCATATAAACCAATCCGTTGGTGGAATATATGATTAGAAGCAGAAACGTAAGGTCCCGTGGCAAAATGGTACTCCCGATCGTTCTATGGTGTGACCATAACAAAGCGTTTGTCTGAAACAACGAAGATTTGCAGTGGTTTCTTTTCCATGTCCGAAGGGGCGAGTCACAGAAGATCGGCGCTAAACACAACACCCTTCTAATTTTTGTCACCTGAGGTAGAGCTTTTAGAGTATAGATCTAACATAACAAGGACTTCATTCAATAAGACTGTTTGTGCATTTTTGTTTCTTACATTGTCCTAGATCCATTGATTCAGAAACAGGACTAAATTCTTATACTCTGAGGATGAATCCCAAGATTGTGGAAACCAGAATATAATACAAATCCAATTTGCAAGGAAATTTCAGTATGATGGAAGCTGATATTTGTATACATTATAATTGTATTCAGAACGATAAAAACTTCAAATTACTGGGAAGAATTAGTACATTTATTGTTTGAAAAATGAAAGATTCATCCAATCAACAGTATAACCTGGCTTGACCTTAAACTTTAGTCTTTGTTTTGTTATTTAACTGTTACCCTGCAGTGAATGAGTCATCCAATACTATTCGATTTATCGGTAGACGATTTCTACAAGGGACCATATTCGTTTTTGATTGTTGTATTATTTGTACTTATTTAATGCTTAAGGAACATAAGGGTTAGTGCTAAAGTTACTCATGTTTTTATCATAGATTAAGACTCAAATCAATAATCTGAAAATAACATCATATCTTGCACTTGCTCAAGCTGGCCAAATAACGTACAAGAAACATTTTGACACTTACATTAGGATCGGTGACTGGAGTATCATGATTTCGTAATTGTTCCAATATAGTTGTTCTAGCATGATTTGATGGGATTTCGTTTAAAAGAGTCAATCTAAGGAGCTCAGGAGCTGTATACGGTGTAACTGGGAATTTAGCCAGTTTCAAGCCCAACTCCCGTTTTTTCTGAGAATAAAAAAAATCATTGGACTAAAATAAATGATCGTGTTTTACTTGGAAAAAAGTTTATGATTACCTTTCTAATACTAATTTTAGGATTATGTATGTACCAATTGATCAGTGAGCACAACGCAATAGTATGCTTGCAAAGTTCCGTTATCTTACAGTTGAAACCAAACTACAATTAATACTCGATTTTGAGCTTTTCAATAATTTCATTTTGTGACCAAAAAATTCTTATGTTAGTACGTATAGGCAAGTAAGTAACCTTCTAGCATGGTTCAGTAAAAAACAATGAAGTGTGGAATCTTATATTCCACAAAATGTAATTATTTATAACGATACAATACCGGATATATCACTTGAGATTACTAATAAGTTCTAACCAAATCTACCAAAAAATGAATGTCTAGACATCATTTGTTTGATTGCAGAAACTTGAGGGATACGTAGTGTAGTCAAATTTATGTGTACTGTAACGGTTGGTGTGGTCACTTTCCTTACATTTCTGTATTTTCTTCTGGGTTTAATTCATATTCTATTGTTTTTTTCACCGTTCAATTATATACATTCTTTGATCATTCCTCAACTTTCTACTCCAATTAACTAATTTCAATCAATCACGCATTATTCTATTACCTTTATTCAAAACCAATACATATTAGGTGAATGACCTTCACCAACCTCGTTAAAATATCAAACCATAATCTTTCAATTTGCAGCCATTCATCTTTGATATTTAGTTTCTTATATGTTTTACAACACTAACGAACCGGTCAGATAATTCGTTCACTGAGAGAACACGGCCAAGCTAATATGCAAGGATTGATACTACCATTAATCAGTTAATACAGGCACAATTGCTTTATGGCTTTTAGGGAAATGAAATTAACGAGAAAAGTTTTCTTTGCTGTAACTTTTTCCGCATTTCGTAAAGGTAGTTATTGGGAATCTCAGAGGATCGTTCATGTCATTCGCTTTTTTATTAAATCACGATGGTATGATGAAAAATTATGGTGCCGTGTACAGTGTACACACAGTATCATTTTTGAGCGAAGACCAAATCTACTAACAAGATCAAACCATAAAAGATGAACTGGGGTTCTGAACCATAATATGCTAGTTTCCAGCTAAGAGCTGAGATTCGCATAAAAAGAGTATAATCTTGGTTACAATACTGACTGTAAATGTAATTCATAATCAAGTTTATTTCTAGTTTCAACCATTATGAGATTCAGCTAACTAAAAAATAAGCATCTGATTATCAAAAGGATTATACTTTCCCTGCCACAAATCTCAGGTGGAAAATCTTACACTTTAACCAGGTTACAGTGATAAAAAATAAAAAGGCTACAAAATTACATGAATTGAAGTATTACTAGGGGTCAATGAAATACTGATTCTTCGAATACAGTTCAATCAGTCGTGTACTTCAGAGGCACGAATGTGAAGGCGATAAACAGGTTGTAACTCCTTTATTATGAGAATGGAAAACTGATGAGCTCTATGATTTATCGTGAGAAAAATGAATAGTATGTGAATAAATGCTGTTATGGAAATACGTTAAGTTCCTAATTTAAAACAATATTATTATATGTTAGTTTTGTTAACACAATATATAGTACTTACACCTATTTGTTCATCTCTTAAGACTAAGCGTAATAGGACACTTAAAGGACGTGCTAGTGATCGATAGGCACCGGCTGATGGATTATTTGTGGTGACAGCGTTAAGTAATCGTTTCAATCCTAGACGACGCAATGACTTTATACATATTTTCGGAAGTGGAGCATTTGATTCAGTTAATCCAGCTTCTTCCTCTTCTTCATCAGTATTACCATCGTCATCATCATCAGAATAACCCGGTTCACCAACCCCGGCTACAAGAGATTCGACTGGAAGGCGACAAAAGCCAGATAGGACATTATTTTCAGATGGATTCTCTACCTCGGTATCATCAACAGATCCTTCAACAAGTAAGCTATGGAAGACATGGAAAAATTCTGTTAATCCTAGCAGGCGTCCAAACAAAGATTCATTGAAACTAGGAGGAAGTTCAAGTTTGGAAGGTTCAGGTAAACGAGGGCACTGAGGCAAAGCAGTCATAAGATGTTGATCATCAAGCAATTTATTAGCGTGAATACGTTCAATCTTCTGTTTTTCTTTCATTTCTTGGAGTGCTTGCTTTCGTTGAGTCGGTGACATAGTCAGTCTAGAGATTCAAAATCATAAGAATGAGGACATTAAATATAAGTATTAGGAATCAGCACACACTTTATTAGAAATGAAAAACATGTCACCAAGCTTTTTCCTAGTTATTTCAGTGGTTGAGTCACAGCCCAGAATTAGTGTAATCAGAAACACAAGGGTGATGTGGGGGGTTAGATATTTTATTATGGTTCATTTACCATGAATAAATGGCTTACAACTAGGAACATCATTTCAAAACCAATATTAATGTTTCTAACGCGAAGTTCTTCACTAAAAATTGTTCCAAGACAACTTATTCTGACAGATTTGTGTAGCACAGATTGACCAATCCCGATACTAGGTCCATAAATTGTAGATAATTAAAAGACTAATTAATTATTGAGTACCAGCATTACAAGTAGTACACTACTTATGGTACGCAATAAATAATCCATCTAAAAGACAGGAGAGGTATCATAATGAAAAAGAAAAGCGTTGAATAGGCAATATAAAAAGCAGAAGCAACGAAGTTATTCTCCGTAGAAATATCCAAAAGGAGGATCTAATTGCTGAAATCAATAAGAAATGAGTGCCTTAACAACACAGTAAATCATCAGTCGGTCGTAACGTACATCAAAATTGCCAAAAATGTAGATCAGTTCAAGTTGCCACACCTCATTAGCACAAGATGAACACCAGGTCGGCAAAGAGGGAATGAAATTATAAAACAAACCAAGAGTACCAAAAGTATTAGCAAAATTAGTTGTAGCAGATGAGATTGGGGAAAGACAAGATGATTTTCGAAGGATAATCCTCAGACAAAAAAACTAACGGAAGAAACGAATGACGATGAAAAACGTCTTAATTTTAAATTTACAACACTTATTGAAACACATCAAATACACTTTGATACGATCATACTCACTGCCTTCTCGCACCACGAGTGTTGTTTACGAAATTGAGATAACGAAAAGCGAGTGTCCGGCGCTTTAACTGGGTTGGTGGACATGAAGAATCCATCTAGGGGAGTTGGAAAACCCTGATTCCAAACCAATGGTGCACATGGGCTCCAGTATCCTGAAGGAACAAATGGCATATGAATCAATTGTTGGTCACCGGCCACCATGGGACTACGTCTCCTTACGTTGCTCCATTGCCTTGTGGATCAAACCTTTAGGTTGAAGGCTCCGGGTGTGGCCCCCTAAGAAAGCCATTTGCTTCGGTTTGGGCACCCGGGCAGTATGACGGCCCTCACACATATCAAATGAGATCTGTGTGGCGCATATGTATTTGGTTCCTCTTTGTACCAATATCTGTGTTAAAATAAATAAATAAAACACAGCGAACTACCGATGGTTGATACTTTAAGAGATATCTGTTCTTGGAGAACGATGAGAACAGTAGTCTTGAGTAAGCGGAACGCTTACGGCGAATCGTATGAGCAAACTTTTCCACAAAGGAGAGGAATTTCCACGTACAAAACTTAACTCCAATGCGATTATTAAAACCATCCAAAATAGATTGACATTATAGTATAGCAATTATCTCTTAGCTACACACTGTTCTGCTGCCTTATTTTCAATCATTATCGGAGATTTTATTAGGATATGTCAAACGAATCAGTACATGTTCGTAACACAATAATACAAAAATTCGAAGGATTGAATTGAACTTACAACTTTTTTTTGAACGCAAACGCTTCTTTCTTTGATCGCACAGGATCGCGTAATTCAACAGGCAACTTAAGAATATCTACGTCATTTATGAATTTTGCACATAGTCTTATCTGAGTTTCTATGGCTGGATTATTACGATCTTCTCCAAACATTTTGATGAGATGTTGAGCAACTCGAGGTAATGCACATCTTTCATTAGTATTCTTTTTAGGACGATTGATTGCTGACTTGTCTGGTATTTCATCTTTCGTAGGAGTTTTCTTGCCAAATTGAAATAAGGTGGACTGTGTTGATTAAGTGAATAGGAAAAGTAAAAAATAATTTACCGTGATTATTATAAAAAAGCTGCCGTAAAACTAATACTTAGGTAGCTTTTTCAACAAAGCGAAATCGGAAAGCCCTTGGCCTACATTTAAGGAATATTTAAAAACCTATTTCGTGGTTTCCTTAAGTGAGTGATGCTTTAGAAATATTGAGTGGATGTTTTCTTACTAAAACGGGTATGTTTTGGGAACCCCGAGTTCGAAAGAACGAACTATTTAAGATGCTGATCAAACATAATTTACAATTCAGATATTTAGCCCACGTCAAAGGCTATTGATCAGACCTCTATATGGATGCCGATATTAAGTAATTGCAAATCAAATAAGGGTGGTACGACTTTCCAAGTAGCTTGATTATCAACATACTTAACAGAGTACCTTATATTACATATTTTAAAACGGTTGCTTGTTTTGACAGTGTCATTAACCAAGGGCTCATTGGGTGACTCAATTAATTATTTACATGTTACTTCTCGTTTATGAACATAGACCACCCACCAGGAATTCGCCAATCAAATACACCCTGGATTCTCCCTTCCAGTTGATTCCAATTGCCACTCATTCTTTCTAATTCTGCCTCCGATTCCCTACGCAACGTGCTCTTTGGTCTTTATCTCTCCCGTCTCCCTTCAGGATTCCAAGTTAGTACTTGCCTCATGATCCAGTTTAGTGATTTCCTCAATCTGTGTCGTATCTATACCCAGTGTCTTTTCCTAATTTCCTCTTCAGTTTGAAGCTACGTTGTTCTCTCTCACAGTAGTCTGTTGCTGATGGTGTCCGGTCGATGGACATTCAGTATCCTGTGTAGACAACTGTTGACGGTGGTTGTAGTAGTTTTCAGTTTCAACTCCTTACAGTAGAACTATCTTGACTTTCGTATTGATGAATCTGACCTTGATATTAGTTGACAGTTGTTTTGAGTTCGATATGTTGTTCAACTCTACGGATGCTGTCCTTGCTTTCCCAATCCTCGCCTTTACGTCTACATCAGATATTCTACGTTCATCAGTGATGCTAGTGACCAGCTACGTGAAAGATTCCACCTACAAGAGTATCCCCACCAAGTGTGATTGGGTTGGTGCTCACTGAGATGTATTCGAGGACCTTGCTTTTTCCATTATGCATATTGAGGCCTATTGTTCTGTCTGTAGATCTTTTAGGGTCACTCTCGTTCCCAATCCGGGAAAAAGGAGGGATGGGGTTGTCAACTCTGTCCCGTAGAAAACTTCGTTTAGAAAAATCATGACCAGAAAAGTCATTCGAACCACTGTGGGCTGACTGAAAGCCCAAAAATATACAACTGACAGTATTGTTAATGTTGAACATTCCTTTAGCTTCATTGAATTTATGAACCGATCAACCAATGATACGCAGAACTTTTGCGGGTCTTAACAGTAATTTAAACACACCACAAGAGTAGCAGTGTGAATAAATGAGGACAAGTCAAACCTGTAGTTTATAGATAACGTTGGCAATTACTTAATGATCAATCAATATAAACACCTCAGTCCTACAATTCAATAGTCGTCCCAGTAGCTGATTGATAACGTCTTAGACTTTGAAGTTGGGTGACATGAGTTTGAATCCGATGGAGGACGTCAGTTTCCACAAGACTCCGGGTACGCCTTGTTGACTAGTATCGACCAACTAGCACAAAACCTAGGTTCAGGGTCTCCTCCGAATACCCGTAACCATCTAACGTAGATAGACGGAAGCGTCTCGAAAAAAATTCACTTCCTAAAGCGACTTCAAAGATTTCTCAGATGGAACTTTCAATAAAGAAAATAAACACAAATTAAAAACTAAGTATCACAGAAACAAACCTGTTTCATTTTCTTCTTTCTATCTTCCAATGATTGTTTAGATTGAGAACGATCTTTTAACTGAGCTAGCGGTAAGTTATCTTCATTTTCTTCAAGCATCTTGGGAGTGTTGTCTTCACGTAGAACAGAGAAGCGTTTGATACGTTTAAAATTAAGTGGTGTGCTTGAAGTAACATCATCTGATGTACCTTCTCCGTTAGACTGACGTCGGGAGTTCATAACGCGTACAAAGTATTCCTCCTCCAGGGCTTTGGACATTTGTTTTAACTATAACAATCATTGACGGTGATAAAAACATGATAATCTGTATATACTATAAAAATCGATAGTAAACCAAAGTTGGAAAGATCATAGATCGTTATTGTTAATCAACAGTTTTATAGAAATACTTTAAACGTGTCTACTTTTTTTAAAATAAACACCCAAACGACTCCACAGTACTGCAACAGCGTACATTCTAGATATCAGTACTAGTAACCAACTGCCAGTAGACTGATTCATTTCTACGAATCAATAACGGGGAAATATAAGTCCTGATATCAATGAAATGAGGTTTTCTAAACTATAAGGTTATTTGAAAGCAACATTTACATGAGTAGATTAAATATTAACAGTAGACTAGACATACCTTAACTTTATCAACTTGACATCCGGGGCTTTTTAAAGGTATTTTATGACGTCGTAAAAGCTCCTCATTTACAATCCATGGACCTGTAAAGTTTGGTCCATAACGCATAGCATGACTTCGAATAAACATTTTGATATGGTCTTTGGAAGGTGCTCGGTTGATACGGCTAAAAGAATGAGAACTAGTCATTAGAAAATCTTACTCAATGGAACAGGCTGGAACATCATGTACAACAACAGGGATATCCGAAAGGACTTTAACACTGTAAGCGTAGTTTTTCTAGAAAAATACTTTACAAAGGTTTGAAAATTACCTTGATGGGAGAATTCTTTTTAGTCACATTTTCTTTGTCACTATTATTCGGTGAAGTGTTATCCGGAACAGGTGTCTAGGATTAAATGAATTAGGACAGATTCACATCGTACCGGTACAGTTTGGGATTTTATTATATCATCAATTATTCCGCGTATTCTAAGTCGATGTTTTTATTTTTAAGTGAACTTACGGTGTATTCGAAACAGAGTCAACTTTTAGTTTCACAGGTTCCGCAATATGAAATTGTTCATGTATGGTGGTCCAGCAGCTGTGTACCAAGGATTCCAGGGGTAGAGTACCTTTTGTATTGTTAAATTTATGAGCAAATAAGCTTACTGAGATGGACGCGCTCAAGGATGGTTTTTTCAAAAAACTTGGGGAAACACTTTTTTAGTGTCCGAATAGCAGTTGCTTCAGTTTTCAATGCTTCCCGATAAGTTAAATTAGGTTTCCCAGTTACACGACAAGTCCATATATTTTCATTATATATAGTAATTTTGCGCTGCAGTTCCTCGGCAGATGTACAAATTTCTTGAGTTTCTGGGACGATAAATGCTGGTTTTGGTTCGGGTTCTTCGTGTTGCTCAGTGTCACGAGGTTTCTTTTTTCTCCATACCGGGTTCAATACATGTAGCTTCGTACTGATAAGAGGCATCTTAAAACCCAAAGCACTAGCATAAAATATATAATAACCAAAATGATAATACTGATAGTTAAATATGCTAACCTTGTGTTATATAAACTGTTGATAGCACAGATCCTAAAAAACCATACTTTATCTTATTTCAAAGCGACCATTAAAAGACGGAGCCCACTGAGTCATTAACAATGCTCTCGTTAGTCCTTACATAGTATGGCTCATGCCCATACACCTAGTAAATGTTGACTTAGTTACTTTTTGTTATGGGAGTAGCGTAGCGACAGTGCTGAATGTCTTAGAATACAATGATAGCATCTCTATCGGCTAACTTATCCTTGAGCAAAGCTTTCGACAGTGAGCTTGAAAAATCAGCCTAGAAATGGCATGTCATATCCAACGACTTCTGGCGTCAATGATTAATGCTTACCGTATTTTAAAAGCTAAAAGGAAGCCCATTTAGGCTGTGTTCGTACAACACTTTGTCTGTGACACAAGGACGATTAACTAAGAGTGAAGTTTTGTCACTGGCTACTAAACCTTTGGCAGTGTAGTACATGTGTGGTAATTAAACTTATATTTTTATAAAACTATTCTAACCAATACTTGCTATTGCATTCCCCGAAAGTTTTGTTGCATAAATTAGTGGTTTAAACAAAAGAAGACATTTTCAATATCATATTAAACTTTCTTTTCGGGTGGATTGAACCCTAAACGATTATATTTCGTTTAAAACTAGACAACTGACTTAACTGTTTAAAGGAGTTACTACGACTACATGTAAATGCTATCTCTGAAACGTGCATGAAGAGCTCAAGTAAGGTCGAGTAGTTGGCCCCAAACTACCAGGCAATTGGGGTTTATACGAATACCTAGTGTAGTGATTTTGCCGAATCTAAGATTGGAAACCATATTCCAAGACTGCATAACGGTCAGTTGTTTGTATACAATTGACCACAGTCGATTTGTAAGATCTAAGAAAGACTACCACATTAATTGAAGCTTAACTAGGAATTTACCTACGGTTTTATAAGAAAGCCTGACACTAATAATCGTCAAAACTAGAGGTACAGGGTTGAAAGTAATCACTTTACTACTTACCGTGGTCGCTTAAGGAAATAATGTACTATCCAAACGATTATGATAAGTCAGAATTAGAACAGAGGAACACTGGCTGAGACATTACATACTAACAATGTTACTTATAACACCAATATATAGCCAAAGAATGCACTTTCAAATAAATTATTCCAATCCAACCAATCTATATTCATTAAAATTATTAATCTCACAATTACATTTAACGTATAAGTATATTCCAGTTAACGTTCCGAACTAGTCATCTTAACAGAAATTTTATTACATAATCCTATATTGACATGCTATAATTGTAAACGATGTAATTCACCCGAACCCTGGAAACTTTCTGGATTATTTGTTTGGAGAAGAGAATAGAATCTATTGAAAGAAATGTTCAGCAAGACCAATTTATTGACGAACCAAACAGATTTAGAATGACATGTCATGAGTTTTGGCGCGAATTTCACTCATTCATATTTGCTACATAGCTTTTTAGCTGTCGGGTTGTGACAAAAAACCTATATTCAATCCCTGATTCTAACCATCCTATGGAAGGACAGCATATGTATTATTTGACTGAACTTTACCGTCTAGTAATATTCCATGGTTAGATGAAAGTCGTGTCACGTACTATGTAAGCCCATGTAAATACTAAGTTACTTTCACGTCGACCTAGTTCAACAGAAATTTTGTGCACCCAATTATTGGTTAGTACCTTATTTTGATTCCTAGTTTTTTTTATATTTTCACATGAACGGTTCTTCACTCTCCACTAAAAGAGGAGAACGACAATATAAAAGCTAGAGCGAAGGACTCTAAAATGACGGACTATTAGAGAGTCATTTCAACTGAATGAAGAGCCGCTAGAATGTAGTAACAAGTACAGGGACTCCGGTAACGTAACGATTTCAAACAATTATTGTGTCATAGAAAATTAAGTTTATCTAGGTTACGTCTTATTACACTACACTAGTGACGCATTTTTCACACAACCACATCACTTTTAAATTTCTCTTATGTTTATGTCAACAGTAGTGATAACCAAAATTTAAAAACACTCGATTTAACAATTTAATTCGCAAGGCATTTACAAGCGGAAGAGAACTTGAAATATTTGGCAAAACTATTTGCCGTTCAACACTAACACACTGATTGGTCATAACACTCGGTAACTAGGGTTTCTAAAAAAAGCATCATATGCCGGAATAAAAGGAGTGATAATATGGTAGAAACCAATGTTACAACAACACTCGCTGCTGACATACACGCTTATTCAATCCTGACAGGCTGGTACTTTTGTCACAAATCAAATCTCGATCTGAGTAATATTTTAAGTTCACATCTAGTTTGGAAGATTCTATATTATATAACGACGCCTAATCCAAATCACTGATTCCAAACTGTAAGAAGATAGGTGGAAAATCAGAGGTCGGAAAGGTAACTCGCAAATAAAAATACCAGTGAAAGAATGGAAAATCTCAACACCTTGAAAACAAAAGAACACCTTAGTGTACAGCAAGTGGATTCAACCAGCAGATCGCAACATGAAAACTCAGCACCGTTAGCGCTGGAGGCAAAAACTTAGAACAACCCGCCTACCTCAAACAGTACACATTAGACACATACTTGTTTAAACTGTCAGATGTACTAAAACAAACTGAAAATCAATCAACCCTCACTGTCAAACTTCCTGTATTTTTTGAAAATTTTTCATGCGCATTAGTTTGAAAGCATTGACTTAACGTAAAGTGTTCCTATGGTGTAAATACAGAAAAACTAATGTTCTAAGAGTCCTAAATATTCGGGGAGATATGTCAGGAATACAAGCAACTTTCGCATAACAAGCTTCTGTTTCTGGAAACCGGGACTCACCACCACTTCCGTGTAGGTCAAATATAAATAAAACAAGCATCGATATGTTAGAATACAATGCCGCTATCAGTACTTGTTAAGTTTCCTCCATTAAAACTGTCGATAAAAATAAATCCCCAAAACAACAACTTTATTAGGTCTCCGACATTGTCGCTGATCTCAATAATTTCACTGGACAAAACCAAGCTTAAATTCCAGCCACACATGCGCACCTGGTAACGATTGAGTAGGCAGTGTGACGCATCTCTTTAAGTTACAAGACATCTTCAGTTAAAGCGCTTCTCAATATATCCACAGCCTTTCAATATATATCTGAACTTACACACCACGGAATTTTTGTTTGAATTGGTTTGTACACTTTGATTATAAAGCTGATGCAGAAATAAACGTTATCAAACTCTGAATACAATTGGCAAATTAGTTGCTGAATCGGACATGATCTGATACGCAAAACGATAACAGTGGGTCTGTACCTTGCTAAAATACCATACACTCATTTAATTTTACATGTCATGGTATTTTTGTTCTCTCAGACTATGGAGGAATGACACAACGCTATGACATACATCATGCATCTGCACCCCGGCCACTTGATAACATGATGTTATTTGACCTCATAAAGTCTGACCTCTTTCAACAAATCTCACTAATTTTGCATCAAATCTGCTAAAGTTCATATATCCCCCGAATATACTAGAACTTTAGAAGATAATGGGCTGTCCAAAATTTTCAAGAGATATAAGATGTGTAGAGGGTCTCAGGACTGTCAATATTAGTTCACAAAGTACAAGATCCCATCAGATTAGTATTGAATTTTGAATGACCTACATTATTGTCATAGTTACGTATCGGACATTTTTCAATTAACCTTACCTGTTGCTATTGCTTTTTGTAAATGTTCGTTCCCTACAGAATCCAAATTACTGACTCTTATGGTTTTCATATCTGAGAGTTTTGTACATTGCTTATGGCCTAATAACATTCTCAATGTGTAACGGGAGTACATTGTACTTAAATAATTTGAAATTAATTTTCGATGAAATGAAGTTGAGTTGCACACATTTTTTCGAAAATACTATTGTTCTGCCACTCTTTTAGTTCTAAGGTATGATTTTAAACTCAAAACGATGCTTTAAAGACTGAAAACCTTAGCTCTGTATTAATTATCCAGCATGGCCGTAGTCCTTCAGTCCTTACTACACAAATCTGAATCTGAAATCTGCATGCTTCCTTATATGGTCAGTGACACTTTGAAGAAGTCAACCGAAAGTGTCGGCAGTGCTAAGTAAACCTTAATTATTTAGCCCACTAATTTCTGGAACTCGCCTTGATCTTTTCAATGAATCATTTTTGATGCTACTTACTTTCATGTATTACTATTGAGCTTTCAGAAAAAGGAATAAGATATCAATGAACTTATGTTAATCCTTACAAATCGTGGTACTGTGCATACCCAACCACGCTCTGAACGTGACAACATAAGGGTTGTTATTGCGTGTTCTAGTAGACAATTCAAGCTATTCACTATTTTGTGAGAGTATAAAAAATCTAGACGTAAAAGATTCGATATTGGTTTTTAAACTTCCCTAGAATGTTTACGCAGATGATCAGTCCTGAATGGGAGGAAGATTTGGGACACGTTAATACTCAGATCATTGTTCAGTATACAGTAAGCCATTATTATACTATTTCGTAACCTGCAACAAGATAACAGTAATACGTTGAGGCGCACTTGTTTTCTCTTATCGTTAGAAAGTTACTTATCTTGTCTACGGTTATATAATGGACTCCATAACGTTCCAGTTTTGATTTAGGACACGGATGGGAGTCCATGTTGAAAGGTTTACTAAGATCTGTGAAAAATACATCTACAGAATTACTTTCAATTTAGCTGTATCCCAATCTTCTCTCGCAGTGAGCAGGTTTTTCAAGCATGACAAGCTTATTCCAACTCTTAACTACATGTTTCGTGGTCTTCAGGACCCTTTCCAATCAATTTCAGTCGCCATGGGCACGAGGACTTGTGTACATTTTTCGTTTGTGCCTTACTTGCCTGTAGTGAATGTTGAACTTGCGTTTGCCTCCCACACACAAACCGTTATAAAACATTTAGCTGCAGCGAAATGGCAATGAGCCGTAGTCATAACTGACCATTTATCTAAGCCACTGTGAGAACAGATTAATATCAGAAACTACCCACTAATTTTGTGGTTTATTCGTTTTTAACTTCCCCCAGCCTAAAGGAATCGATACTTTTAGTTCAGCGTCTAAGTTGACACCTACAATGAGTAGCATATTTTGTGACGCTGCCTGTAGATTCGATTCTGTGATGAAAGGAAACTTGTAAATGAGGATAATTCTTACTTAACTATTTATGGCTTTTTCATTGTCCTATTCTTTCATTATTTAAGATGCAATTGTCTTGCTACCGATGAAGCGATTGCAGCTCATATCGTTTAAAAACACTTAAGCGTGATGAAACTCTAGGGAACTACATACATTAATCCATGTTTCATGATGATTCTCAAAGTATTATGAGTAAGGACTTAGTTTGGAGACTTTCAGCTGAATTGTAAGTAATATAACCATGTCGATCTATGTGGATGAAGTCACAGTTAAGCTAAGAAGCATTATTCATATCTCAGACCAGTTAGATAAAGCAATGAGATTAGATTAAAGGTCATCTAACCCGTTATTTTTTTATTTTCTTGCATCAGCACAATTTATCACGAAAGATTCGATTATAATAGATGATGTTTTTTTCATAAAAAATACACCAAACGAAATTTCGCATCATTACTTAAGGAACATTAGTTTACAGTAATTTTAAGTACTGAAGTTTTCGTTGCACTTCCAATCAACAGGAGACTTCTTATTTATGTGAGTAGATTCCATGAGACTTATGTTTCTTAGTCTTAATAAAAGTCAAATATATGGAATCCTGCTAAACATTTAACGAATTTTAGAGCAAAGGAAATTCACTGACTTCCTATTGTTCATAGAATTTGTTCAGCGAAAAATGAGAAGTTATAAAAAACTAATAATAAACAGTTATAGTCAGCTGACTTGCAAGAACTTTGTTTTTAAAACAGATAAAAATTAAATATATTTTTATATGAACCATTTCTAGTCTAAAATTAGTCTGACAAAACGTAATTACGAGACATTGTCACCTCCCTTTGATATATTTTTTCCTAAATCTCCAAGCAAATTATAAGAGTGCTAATGAACAGGTGTTTACCAACCTATTACATTCATTTTAAAGGTTTAAAATCAATAACCCAACCGTTTCTGTTACCTTGACATGGTGGTCGAACTTGCCTATCGTAATGAACTATTCGAGCTATACTGGCTGAAACAATCGTTTTTCAAGGTCGTATCATGACAAACAGGTCGGTTGAGGAACAGTAAGACTAAAAGCAGCAAAAATATAGGGTCGAAGGGTAAAGTTTTACTGCTGACTATACAGAGATGTGACGGCAGTAGGGTGTTTCCTTCAGATAACCAGCATAACAGCTACGCTGCCTTAGAAAAGGTCCACCCTAAAAATGCACATCTCGCCTTATCCCACGGATATCCGTTTCCAGCGGTAAGGTTCCTACAAGTAAGGATCCAATAGAAAAATTACACACACAAAGATCGTGTGTGATCGGTCTCAATTAGTCGTCTCTTGGGCATTGCGGTCACCCTCTCATGTCCTTAAGACCAATTCTAATACAATTTCCTTTCTAGGTAAATCTAGAAGAACCGTTCCACGGTGTGCGAAACCGGGAAGTGATAACCGCTCTCATACCTCTAACAGCACTCAAGACCACTGTATTCGTGGTCAATTTCCCTCTTTAATTCCTATTCACCATGCTTTGCAACTCATCCAGTACTATGTGCCCACAGTCATATGCTTCACTGTGATATTGCTGGTTTTCAGATTACACATTTATATGTGGTATCTCTTGGCATAATTCAAACTGGTTCAAAAAATTGGGAAGTATATCATTCCTAAATTCCCATTATAAAATATCATTTGTATATTGATTGTCATTCTGCTTATGAAAGTAAAAAGATAAGAAGTTTGAATTATGAGATGATATTCGTAAACCAGAAGTTATAGAGCTATATCAAACTTTTATTACGTCTTAGTCGAACTTTTGATGCGTTAAAAAGCAGCACATATTCCTTCAGTTTAGTCGGTACTATGGCGAGCAATAAGGCAAGATCTATACTACTAATTCAGTAGTGAGAATCGAACAGGAAAAATGTTGAACTAGGAAACTATCAACTAATTTACATTCTGTTTTTTGATTTCTGTCACAGAAGAATAAATTACCAATATCCCAGTACATGTAATTGCAATATGGGGTCTAAAAAATTTAATGAAAATCGCAAGACCATAAAACACAGAATTTCACCATGTCTTTGATCAGTTTCGACAGCTTGACTCTAACCACTTTGGAAAATAAGTAGTTGTATTATTATCGATTATTTTTTATTGTTCAATATGATAAACCGATTATAGGCATTAACCATTTTCATTTTAGATCTAGTTCAACATTATTTCTCCAGAAAAATGCCAAGACCAGCTTCAGCTCAATCTGAACAAGAAGACAATACTGATTTACTATTAATTGAAGAATATGAACGATTAAATAATCAATTAAGAATATTACAAAATGAACGTCAAAAACAAACTGAAGAATTTACTGTTAAACTAGGAAAATATAAGTAATGTTTTGATAATATCCATAATTATTTTACCAAAAACAAAACCAAAATCTAGAAAAGCTACAGAAATATTAGAAAAAGAAAATGAAGAAATTAAATGTTTGTTAACATTAGTAGATAGCGAACAAAATAGAAAACAAGATATGAAATGTATTGAACAATTAAAACAAATTTTAAAAGAGCAAGATAATATACAATTACAAATTGATGAATTAAAAACTTATGGAAAACGTTTAGATAATGAGGTAAGCAAAATAAATAAATAAATAAATTTCAACGGTTAAGATCATGAGCTAGTTGAAGCTAGACCACCATGGGAAACCTGGAAGCACTGGACGGCCGTCTCGTCCTATTTTGGGACTCCTCAGCAGTGTACATCCACGACCTCCCCTCCCCAGGACCTACTGGTTTCGCGCATGAGCAGTTAACCACTGGACCACCGACCCGGCATCCAACGGTGTTAATGTCTAACTTCAACTAATCCACGAAATCGAGCGACATATCCACCATTGTCTTCAGAGAGTTACTGATAGGTCCTGGGCTCGAATCTCGCAAGGGACAAGGTCGTGGAGGCGCACTGCTGAGGGGTCCCAAAATAGGACGAAACGGCCGTCCAGTGCTTCGAGATTTCCCATGGTGATCTAGCTTCAACTGACCCATAATCTTAACTATTGAAATTACTATAATAACTCATCTAAAATAAATAAATATTTACTTTTTTTTAAAAAATAGACACGTAAACTAGAAAATCTTATCCAAGAAAAACAACAAATTCGTATGATACAAACTAAAAAAGAAACTGAGACCAATGAATTAAAATTACAAATTGAAAAAAAATTAGTTACTATGGAAAATAATTTACATGAAGTAATTAAACATACACACACAAAAAAATCTTTTTTTGTTTCTAGAAAAATATGAAATTTTGTGATGCATTAGCATATAATAATAAAATACGCCATGAAATAGAATGTGCTAGAAATGAACGAAATATTTATTATGCAATACATCAAAAATTAAAAGATAAATTAATACATTTAAATAAATTAAAAATTAAATTAATTCAACAAGCAAGTCTTACATATGATCAAAGGTAAGATTATTATTATTATTATTATTATTATTATCAATTTAAGAGCGGATGCCAAAAATAAAAGTAATGCATTAAAAGAAAAAAATGATAAAGATAATATTGGATTTGAAACTGAAATGAAAGATTTACAAAGAATTATTGATCATAATGATCAATTAAAAAAATTTATGACAATTAAATCAGATGAACGTTTAGATTGGAAACAGAAAGCAGAAAATCGTCGACGTAAATATGGTAAGTATTAATCATTTATTATATAAAGTGAATGTACTATTATTATCTTTTGATTGAGATCATGAACTGATGATGTTAGACCACCATTGAAAACCCTGAAGTACTGGACGTTCGTTCCGTCCTATTGTGGGACTACTCAGCAGTGCGCATCCATAGTCGCGCTCGCGGGCTTCGAACCCAAGTCCTTTGGTTTTCAATCCTCGAAGTTCTAGTGAGAAGCCGTGACCAGTAGAGTTAATCTGCGTCGGGTAGAAACAGGTGTCTATCTCAGTACAATGGAAGATGGTCGCGCAACTTCGTGGATTGGTTGATGTTAAACACTAACACCATTAGATGCCCGCTCAGTGATCCGGTAGGTTAAGCGTTCGCACGCGAGACTGAAGGCCCTGAGTTGGAATCCCCCGAGCGGGATCGTGGATGCTCACTATTGAGGAGTCCCATAATAGGACGAAGCGGTCGTCCAATGCTTCCAGGTTTTCAATGGTGGTTTAACATCAATCGGTTCACGACCTCAATCAAATCTTAACAATCTCCACAACCCATAAACTGTTAATGTATTATATTATTTAATTAAAAGAAAGTTGTTATTCTTTATTTCCGTTAGATATAAGCAACATAGGACCTGGTACAAATGTACATGGGTTCAGCACAACGAGAAGAAATTATTATAATATAAAAAAATAGACTCATCAACACAGTGTCACAAACAGTGGTGATAGAAAAGATTAGGAAAAGGAAATATGATTCAGGGAAAAATTATGAATTTACAATATAAGATTATATTGAAACCCATTATCAAAGTGAGGAAAAAAAAGTGAAAGGTTGTGTCCCATTTTGATCGATGGTTCCAAACTACACCATCCAAATTCTCTAACTATCGATTGCAATAATTGTACCAAATCTGTTAATTCGAGAATAGGGGGTTACTAAAATTGACAACACAATTTTATGAAATTTCACGCTGTACATACTATTGATAGGTAATGTACTGGCCTATTCACAGACGTTTATTTGAACATGATATATATTGAATATTATTATTCACTTTAAAATATATGCAGATAAAGTAATTGCGTTAAATGTTAAGTACATAATTAGAGATTTTGATTGATCAAATAAATTGGAAAAAATATAACATTCGGTATGACAGCATATAGAATAAAGATCCAGTTTTTATCAGCCAAATGAAAAGCGAACGTATAAACTGAATATTTAACTGTAAATTAACTACCGGATTAAACTCTGAATTATGTTACCTAATATTACCAGTCGCTTGTAGTTAATATTACTAAGACGGCAGTTGACAATACTTTAGCCTTCTTCTATAAGTTTGTAAATTGCTGTCGATGGTGTTAAAAACTTTTGCATCTAATGATTAATTAGTTACGCTGCAAAATTGATTGATCGCCGAATACTAACTAATCTCATACTTATCTAATGCTCTAATATGGATAAGAATTTACCAAACAATTCTCAGTGTGACCATTAGTTTAAATAACTCAAAATTTTTTGCTCTGTTTTGGGATGTCAGATGGTCAATAACATCTTAGACTGTGGACCTGTGTAACCTGGATTAATCCCTTTAAGGTTCTAGGTATACCTTGTTGACTAATGCCTACTAACTTCAGAGTTTCTTACTGACTACCTCAAATCATCTAACATCTTGAGTTATATTTTATTTAAAATTGCTGTGGAACCAAAATTCATTGGATTTAAAATTTATGAACTGAATGAAATCACTTCCATATTTATTACTACTGTAATGAAGGAGAACACAGATGAGGACATCCGAATCAGAATTAGCACAACATTACAGATTTACTTGGTAAAACAGAAACACCATACTATAATACCCAAATTTGCAAAATGTTCAATAATTGTCTCGGACTTCATTGTTCTTGCATTTCTATATTAATAGCTTTCTATACCCGTTCTTCCTTTCTTGATCTTCCCAATCTTCTGCTGCCAGACATTACATTCCTGACTCGCGTTATATACTAATTATGTCAATATCAGTAGCACGCACCACACTACTACTGTTTTAAATAATAATAAAGGAATTCGCCCATATTTACGTATATTTTTTCCATCTAGTTAGTTGTCTTATTGTCTTATTAAGGTAGAATGGAGTGAAATACAATTTTGCAAAGTTCTACTTTTTCATGAAATGGTAAACATTATACTCAATGGTTGAATAGATGAATTACTTGAATGAAGTATTTGTCTTTAGTGATACGCTAACAAGTCTCATAGTTATATTCACCGTAATTCACTAAATATCTAAATGAAATTATTAATATTATCGTTACTAAATGTACTTTTTAAAAAAAATTATTTAGGTGCTACTGGTGAAATAGCACAACAACAGAGAAGTATAAAAATTCAAGAATATGAATCAGCAATGAATCGTTTACAATTAATCACTGGAAAATCTGATGTTGAACAAATGACTAGATATTATAAACGTAATGAAGATGATAACTTTACAATGTTTAAATATGTGACTGAATTAAATAATCAGGTAAAAAAAATAATAACTAATTAATAATACACTTAAACAAATTATATATGGTTAGATTGAATGCTTAAATGATAATATCATAAATATAGAGAAAACAATTAATGAATACGATGAAGAACAAAAAGTAATTGAAAGACAAAGAGTTAATAAAATGACTGAATTACAGGTACGTTTTTTGTTTGTATTATTACTTATTTTGCATATTAAAATGATTGATCTATCAATTATAGCAATCCATAAATCAAGAATACATTTGTGTGGTCAACATTGAGACATACATTCTACGTAAAGACTAATGGTACTATCCTGATTTCTCAAACTGAAGTAGATAGATCAGGGTTAAAAATAGAAACTTAGTTGTTGGAAATCAGTAGATATGATCTCTTATCCGCAAGTTTTACAAAACAAAGCCTGATATATTCGACTTGGAACTTTATTGGTCTAATACTAATCTGGTTATCTTAAAAAAGTGAATTCAAACATCCCGATACAACTGAAAACTTTACAAACATTGTACGATTACCAAGTTATCCAATCATAACCACCTTGAATAGTTTAACTAAGTAATACAAGTGAAAAATGGAAAAATGAACATACAATGAAGTTAATAAAATTACATTTTCTTGTAGATATGTAAGTTGTTGACGCTTCTCGGTTTCTCTCAGTATGGATGAAGATTTCATCTTGAGAAACTTGTGGACAAAATCCAGATGATATTGATGAAACTATCGGAAGCAATGAGCTAGCTCAAAAAGAACCAGCTACAGATGACGTTTCCATGGGCAACTGACTTTGTAATATTAAATCCATACTGTTCAGAATATATCATCAAAAGTTATTGAGCCAGAAAGTTGCCTAGCATTTTTTTAAGGACTGATGTTTTTTACTCATGTTTATGTTAGGGGAGCATACAGGGAAATGCTTATCTTCAGTACGAGACATCCCATTGGAATTAAACGACAGAACAAATTTCCACTTGGACTTTGTTAATTTATTCTTCATAAGACTGATACAGCTATCGTTCCTGTATCAATCTAACGTTTGATACGTACTATAATTTCATTTAACCTTGATCTCATTTAAATATAATTCAATCCTCAATTCACGACTGCAATAGATACAGGTCATACTTTCAAAAAAAGAAGCAACAAGGAGTTATGAAGTTAAGCTATATCATAATAATGTTCGTCGTTTTGTTCAGTAACATCAGTAGTGAAGACGCACTGCTGCATGACATGCAATAATGGTCGATCAAAGTATGAGAAATATGCGATCACATGAAACAGTGATGATTTAGGCTAAGGACATCTTACTCGATTAAATTTAAGGTTGACAACGACCTATTTAGATCCATCCAACTTAAAACGTTCAAACGTAAAATGCGTTTACAAGAATCAGTGATAAATACGTCCAACAGTAAACATTTGTACGACTCACCTCTTAAAAACACTTGGTAGTTAGCAAATTACGAAATTCAATCTTTAAACTAACATACAGAGCTATTAATATCATCAAACATGACATATTGTTAACCCGACGGTAAATACTCCACCATTCAGAGGCGGCTCAGTTAGTCTTATGTCGAAACGAAAAATCAAATTTGCTATGAGTAAGACATTTTACGCAGCTCAACTGATCATCATTAAAGGGGTCTATGTTCATGCGAAATCACAAAGATCGAGTAAATAATTATGTCATATTGCATCATATCTATCAGTTTTACATGTATGTGCGGAAACACGGACATCGGGAGGAACAATTATGATATAAACGCAAGGGTGGCTGATCACACACTTAAATGAATGTCAAAACAGTTAATCCCCAATGATTGAATAAGAAAATGGAGAAGATAACTACCTTCCTCCATTGGGAATCATTTGGGTGAAACTGATCGCACGATTGATATCAAGTCAAACTTTTTGATATTAAATAAATGGCGTATACTGAGATTTCTTGAAGGACTGGTTGGACGAAGACTGAAACCCTCTTTATGTATCCTGAAACAGTTTGTTCTCACATCCTAACCTACCCTGGTAATGCTGATTTATTATCCAGCGTGGTTTTCACACTATGTACTTTATTACTGTTATTGTCTTGGTTTCCTCTTACGTTCCAGTTTGTCTAGATGACCTTTTGTTTTATCGTGTGTAATGTCTTAATTGGTATATTTGTGATCAGATTGTCCGAAATTTTTCAAGCATATATGTCACATAGTTCGGATAACCTTTACCTTTGTCGTTGCATTATCCAAACTTATCAAGGGACTGACTTTTTAAGCATACACTTTTGCCGGATTCTGTTATGTCTATGATTGACTGTATAATGTAAAATGTCATACTCTTTATAGTTTCTCCCTTTATATTTTCGCATTCATTAGGCACAAATCAAGTCCGATAAAGAAGCAGCTAATACAGCTGAAAATCGTACAATACATATACATAAATTATTAGATCAAATTAAAACAGAAATAAAACAGTTAACCATAAAACTTGGTTGTGATTTATCTAGAATAACCGAAATGCTTGGCGGTGATGGTGATCAAATAACTGAAAGAAATTTAATGCTTTATCTTAACGTATTAGAACAAAGAGTAGATGAATTATTATCAGTTAAATGTTATTCACAAACTAAAGTAAGAAATAGTAATAATATTTTATTCAAAACCTTTGATATTTAGCGATTATTCACATTTGTAGAATTCCCTGAAACATACGGGAAGTCAGTAGTGGTCCGAATACTTCAACAGTGACTGTGGATCCAAGTGAAAGGAGATCGAGTCCACCAGGGAACACCAATTCCCTCATTACTACACGTACACATTACTGACAAGTGCTGTGCAGCACTAAATTTTGGCCTAGCATTTCCTGTCGACTTCCGGTCTGAACACTCTATAATAGAACACTCACTTGTTTTGTTATGACATCTTTGATATCGCTCGTGATTTAATTTTGTTCATAGTTGGTTACAGTTATCAGTGTCGTTTGGGATACGAGTTTTATTCTATTCCGATAAGTTAATGTCAATTTTTCATTTTACGTCAGATGCAGTGCACAACTAACGGCACTTCAATATGTAGAACCCTACAGTCGCAAATCAAAAGACGGTGAAAGTAGGGGAGGTGGTTGTTGGGTAAGAATCAAAAATGGACAGAAAAACATGGAGTACTTAGAGCTGTTAGTATTGGGTATAAAATCATTATGAGTCAGCCAATCCGCAAGTATGCCAGTTATGTTGTTGTCCAATCGTAGCATGCCACGTTGATATTCTAGAAGGCTCTATCAGGTTCTGATTCGACGGAATCTCTTTGGATACTTGAGAGCCTCTGGAGGCTTTGTCACGCTTTTCTTGGCTGTCCCAGCGATCGGGTACGTAATGCCAGATTCACCTGTTTGGTGAGGCCCAGAGATTATCTAAACGAGTTATTTTCATTTCATTATAACCTTCATTAAATACAAACACATTTACATTCGAAATGTTATCACATAGTGATAACGGGAGGATCGAATAACGTTAGTTACTAATAATTTATCGATCCATGAAAGAGTTTGCAATGACTGATATTATGAAATATAATATTTATATAATTTCTAACGCTGGAACATCTTAAACGACTAAAACAAATGGAAACAAAGTGAAAGAAGATCAAAGATGCTTGACAAATATATCAGCTACTTTATTTGTGTAGATTTTTGTGACTATTCGTTGAAACTGATTCTAGACCACCTTAATAAAATATTAGGCCTACTTTCAAAGGTTTTTCGATTGCTTTAAACTAATAAACAATTTACATATCTTTTTGTAATGAACTGTATCACTCAAGTTGTTGTTAAAGGCAGAAATTGTTCAGCTTCTATTAGGATATGTACGTTCTGAGAGGACCGCACTGATATTCCTACTTGGTCACAAGTTTTTATTAGAGCCAGATAGTTGGTGTTTGGAGCATAAGATACTACATTTGGATCTCAGTATAAACATCAATACATGTCCTGGATTCCGCTGGCAGTCATAATCTAACTTAAATAAGTTCTGTATAATAATAACCCCGTCGGATAATTTTTGTGTGGTGATGTTTTCATGTTTGTGTTCTATAGGCTTACAGAGTGAAATAGTCTGATAATCAACGATGTACAGCCCAATAATATTTGCTCTGAAAAAGTTGCTTACATTAAGTCAGGAAACGTCAGAAATATATTTTTCTCTACTGATTGGGATATAACATAAATATACTTATTATTAACTCTCTACTCAATGCTCAATTTATTTGAAACTGTCAAGTCCAACCTTGGTATTTATACCTATGAAATAATTTGGTAGGATTTGTTAGTTCTAACAGTTTCCACCCCGTATTCCCATAAAATTATTCCAGTTAATATGTAATCGACATACTATAACATAAATTCATAATTTCAAGCATAATGACTATGTCGTTTAAACAAATCAATGTATTTGTTTATATTGTGTCATTTACTGAATTGACAAAATAGATTCTATAACAACATTTTAGGGACATAGTGATGAGATGATTCAAGAAAATCCGAAGATAACTTTGGCAACAAATTTCATGGAAACCGTAAGAACAAACAGAGATACATCACTTGTGTTACCATCTTTACAGTAAGTGGATATTTTCTTTGAAATTTAAAACTAAATGTCTGAAAACTTATTGGAGTAAAATACATTTCACTGGTTGAAATCATGAGCCGATTGAAGCTAGACCACTTCGTGGATTAGTTGAAGTTAGACATTAACACCGTTGGATGCCGGCTCAGTGGTCTAGTTGGTTAAGCGCCTGACACGAGACTGATAGGTCCTGGGTTCGAATCTCGCGGGGGGGATCGTGGATGCACACTGCTGAGGAGTCCCATACTAGGATGAAACGGCCGTCCAGTGCTTCCAGGCCTTTCATGGTGTTCTAGCTTCAATTGACTCATGATTTCAACCAGTGAAATTTCTAAAAATCTCCACAAGAACCCATTCTGATAAAATACATTTATGTGGATATTTTTAAGCTTGTTATTTATTTCAGTCTTACACATTTGTATGCTCCAACTCGCATGATGTAATCACCCAAGAATAATAAATCATATGAATACCTTCTAATAATATGTAAATTACTCCAGAATATGAATATATTTTATTTTTATTTTTATCATTCCTAGCATTTTCACTATATTTTCTTGTCAGTAAGATTATTACTTTAACAAATATCTCAACAACTCACTCCGTAACCTTAATTAATATCTGAAAAACGCTCAATGATAATTTTTTATTTTTATCATGAAGCAGTGCATATTGCTACTTGTGTAAGAGATTTATACTAACTTCTGGGAAAACAAATTACACTAATCATCCCAGTTATCCTATTACACACTTATTTGACATTGTCAATTACTCAAGTGTGGTATTGATCATGTGTGTACGATAGTACGTATGCCTTTAATACACTTATTTGTATCTCGCGCTTATTAAAGCTTGATCACCTAGTTGTTCTCTGAATCAGTGAACAGCCAAACTCTAATGCTTTATACATTTGCCGAATGTTTTATTGTCTATCCGTCGTTTAATATTAGCACGTCAGAAATATACTTATTCTAGATACGATTGATGTTCGACTTTCATTATCTATGTTGTATCAATGTGATTTATAAACAGAATGTACGCAACGTAAATAAAATATGCATCACATTAGCATCTATATGGCTCCGCAAAAATAGCGCCAACAATGTGCACTAAAAGCATCATATTCTCGACCGTATATAATGTGATTGACTGAATCTAGACGTGTATACGATTGGGTCCCGGGACAGTGGTCTAGAGGTCAAAATTTCACATGTGAGACGGAAGGTTCTGAGTTTGACTTCTCGTTCCATCCCAAACGTCCAGCTCAACTTCACTAAATAAAATATATCAAACTTCTATTAGTAATTATATTACTGTTTGTAACTATAAGCAATTTGAAGCTGATAAGAAACCTCGAAATGAAATTAAGCCATTTTATTCTTCAAATCTTGTCACCGTTGCTATGTTTGAAGATATTTTATTTGTAGACATGCTCTATTCTTTATTGACGAAGTCTAGTTCAGTCTTCAAAGCTTTAATTCTGGCCAAAAATGTTGATTCTCGTGTGCTAGAGTTACAAAATTATTCATTTACACAAACAAAGATTACTTTAGTTTGGATAACGAAAGCATAAATTTTTGAATAAAGAAAATATTAAATTTAACCATAGATAAGAAAAATATTGATCAATAGTGGAATTCCGTGAATTGATACTCATCTAATAACACTATCTATTAAATAAGCTAATTAAAGGGCTTGGCCAAATTGAACGTAAACAAACTTACGTATAGGAAAAGTGATATAAGAATGCATTGTACGCGGAAAAATGAATTTTTGAACCTTAAAGATCACAGATCCACGCTTAAAAAACTATCCAGAATAAAAATAATTAGTTGGTGATTTTCAACTTCTCAATGCATAATCCACTTGTTGAATCAAAAATATAAGTAGCACACATCAAACTATAATATACTAATCATATAAAATTTCAAATTATACTTTTTTCTATACTCTAAGAGATGAAGATGATACCAATGATGATGAAAATACACCAACATCAATTCGTCCATTATCACAAGCTGAAATAATTGGTCGAGTTACACGTCAATTACAAAAATTGGAAGCGAAACACCATCCATCTATGAATACAAATAAAACTTACAGTCGTGTGTCATCACCTAATAGGCGACTAAAAATTCGTATGTAAATGAAAACGAATTTTTCTTTAAATAATAATAATCATAGAGTATCGACTACAACTTTACTTTTTGAAAAAATGTAATGATATCATCCCATTTTAAAGTAGGGAAAAAGTATGCATTGACTTACATATTTGAAATACACACTGGATGATTGATCTTATAATCACGAATAATTTAATTGTTATAGATAAAAATATTAATATTATTGGATTAATTCCCTCGTTCTGTGATATAGATTTCGACACATACTGACTTCACTTGGAGAACTGATGGAAACCAAGAAACATTGGGTAGTTATTTAACCATAGTTTAGCACTCCTTATCATTGTGAACACTTATGATCTCACCAAAGACTAAGTCCTTAGTTTCAAAAGTTGTCGTCTAGCTACTAATTCGAAATTAATCAACAGCAGACACTTATTAAATTCGGTCAGTTCTAGATATAGTGTGTCACATTTACCGTCATTAATAATATCTGTCTCAAGTTCAACATAGTTGAAGTGCACTAGTCATGAATTACCAGTGAAACGTCGGAAATCTACATTAAAGATAGCCCTTCAGTCAGTAACAACTTGGAACTTCGAGATGCAGTTATCAATTCTAATCCCGTAGTGGTAGAGGTAGTAAAAGTATAAGCAGTAATCGGAAAGATTAGGGTTTGGAGATGTTATTTAAAGAGTATAATCCAGTGAAATAAATTTGAAAAGAGGAAAAAAAGGGACATGAAGAATTCAGAAGATTAGAATTTGCGAGAACACAGAGAGTGGATGCACCTGCGCCATTGCAAACGATTTTGAGCCATGTCATTCAGGGTCTCTAACCATCGGTTGCTATCATCTCGCGGTCCCCAACCAGGTAGTCTACACCTACCAACATGGCACAGTCCACTTGTCAGTGACTTCATGGACTTGTGCCATGTTTTGGTCTGGCCGCCCCTAGCTTTCTTCCAACCTACTCCTACACCAGAAAGCATCGCACGTCAAGGCAGTAGGTGGTTGGGAATACGTAACACTGGTCCCAGCCATCTCAACTGATGAAGTTCCACTACCTCATCAATTGATTTGCCATCCTTACCTAGTACCCGTTTCCTAACAACTGTGTTACTTACTCGGTGGTCCCAGGATATACGAGCAATGCTTCGAATACACCTATGATCAAATACTAGTAACCTACGAATATCCTCTACTCTTACCGGCCATGTTTTTCACTGACATAAAGTAGGACGGAACGAACTGCTGCGCAGTAAACCTGTTCTTTGGTTGGTAGATGGATATCTCGCCTACGCCATAAATGACGCAAGTTGGCAAAAGCTAGTCGAGCCTTCTGTATCCGTGCTGAGGTTTCGTCACACACAAGAATACAAGGACTGATGAGACTTCCAAGATAAGTGAAGCGGTCGACACACTCAACTACTTCACTTCCTATCATTAGTTCGAGTGTCGATCCAACCCACTCCTGAAGCAACATTTTGCATTTCGAGGGAGAGAATCGCATCCCGAACATGCTTGCATTGTTGCTTAGAGTGGTCAGGAGACTCTGCATTTTGTCAGCGTCTTCACCAAATAAAACTATGTCATCTGCATATTCTAAGTCAACAAGTGAATCTCCTGGTAGATGTTCAACCCCTGAAAATTTAGATGAGGAAAGTGTTATCTCTAAAAGCACATCGACGACAAAGTTAAACAAGAATGGGGAGAGTGGACAGTCCTGACGAACACCACTTGAGGTAATCAATTCTGATGACAGTTCGCCATAAGCTCTCACTCGGCCAGTTGTGTTCGAGTATGGAGCCTTTATAAGGTTAATGTACTTCTTTGGTACTCTTTTCAGTGACAAACACTGCCATAGAACCTCACGATCAACAGAGTCGAATGCCGCCTTAAGGTCGAGAAATACTACCATTGTGGGGCGTCTGAATGTGTGTCTGTGTTCTAGAACCTGTCGTAGTGTGAATATCTGATCTATACAGCCACGTCCAGGTCGAAAACCAGCCTGGTTTTCTCTAATCTGCTGTTCACGAGCTTTGGCTAGGCGTCGAAGTATTATTGAAGCTAATATTTTAGACACTATATTTGTCAAACTGATTCCCCTGTGATTGTCACAAGAGGATTTCTGTCCTTTCTTATAGACTGGCACAATCAGTGATTGAGACCAGTCAGATGGGATTACTTCCACTTCCACTGAAGTGTGACTGAAGGCCAGTTGAACTGATCCCCATCGATCCAATCTCCGGGATTGAGAATGTATATCTCCATCTTTTTCTGGGATAGTTTCGCTAACAGTCGGGTTCCTAATTCCGGTTTCCTTAACAAGTCTGAACAATTGTCTGCTGTTACCTATTGCCGCTGGTTTTTCCATCTCTCTTGCTTTCGCCACCCACCACTGTTCGCGATCATTGCGTAGGCTTCTTTTCAGGTTGCGTTTAAGCTGACTCCGCTCTTCGTTATGTTCAGAGCCAGATGGAATGAGATTGGATCCAGTGTCGCTCCCTAACCTTACGGTTTACCGTACTAGCAAATATCACTGCTATTTCCACAGCTTTTCGGATATCATTCCACAATCCCTCGGGGTGGGTATCACATACATGGCTGCCTAACTGTTTTTCTAGTTGTTCCTGAAATATACTCTTAGCTTGACTATCATTAAGTAGGCCCCTAAGAGGTTTCCTGGCAGCGTCTTTCCTACGTCCAGTAAGACGCAAGCAAATACGCGCTCGCACTAGAGAATGATCTGAATCTAAGCATGTGCTCCAGAATGAGCGACAGTCTTCTATCGCGCCCCTCCATCGGTGGCTGATAGCGATATGATATATTTGAGTCCAACGTTGGGACGAATTAGGGGGTCGCCATGTTAAAAGATGTTTTTCCTTATGCTTAAAGTTAGTATTTGCAAGGAACAGGCGTCTTTCCCCATCGCTTAGTTTACCTACTTGAGCATTAAAGTCACTGGCCATTATTACTACATCCGAGCGCCTGGCTTTTCGGATAAGGTCGGAGAGCTTTCTGTAAAACTCATTTTTTACATCATCTGCGCTGCAGTCAGTGGGAGAATAGGCAGAGACGACGAAGAGGCAACGACGAGTGTCCCTATCTTCCCGAGTCCTAAGTGTTCCGTTTAGTCGGACAGCGCACAAATGACTGTCTACTGGGATCCACTCTAAGAGAGCTAGTTCTGCCCTAGGACTCAATGCTATACCTACGCCGGCGAGGCCACGGGAAGCAGAATCAAGGCTTCCAGATACACGAAGCGTAAATCGAGTCGGTTCTTTATTTTGGCATGGTGAGGTCAAATGAATGACGCTACTCGGATCTTGCATGCGCGTTTCGGAGACGCAGCACACATTGATGGTGCGAGATTCTAAAGTCCTAGCTAAGGAAGTCTGCTGTCATATTTGACAGTGTACAGACGTTAAAAGCTCCAACATGTAGTTTAGAGCGTGGTTTCAGGAGACCAGGAACAGCGTTCCGCGTACTCGAATCGTTTGCCCTAGTGGTGCGAGGTGAAAAAAAGACGTGAGAAGGGTTAGTCGGGGAGATAAGAGTGGTATTAAGAGGTGTAGGAAGGATTTGAATGTGACCAACTTGGTCTCTTGTGCTGTTACAAGTATGCGGGCTGGTGTCACTTCCCGGCTGTCCACACCATGGAAGGGTATTTCTTAAGGAACCTGAAAAGGAATTCGGATTAATGTCGGCCTTAACGGCCTGGGAGCGTGACCGCAGAGCCCAAGGGACAACTGCTTGAGGCCGGTCGCGCACGGCCTTTTTGTGGAAGGTTTTTGACGTGTTAGCTCCGTTCTTCAAAGGGCCTTACCACCGGAGACGGAAACCCGCGAGGTAAGGTGAGGTGTGCATTTTTAGGGTCGACCTTTTCTAACCCCACCCCTCCTTGTGGGGAGGCAGCATCGCTGCAGATGCTGGTTGTCCGAGAGAAACACCTTACTGCTGTCACACCCCTCTACAGTCAGCAGTACGACTTCGCTCTCAGACCTTGAGTTGCTGCTTTTAGTCTCACCGTTCTCCAATCGACCTGCCTGGCATGGTAGAACCTACAGGAACAGTTGTTACAGCCAATATAGCTCGGTTGGGTCATCACAATAGGCAAGCCCGACCGCCGTGTCAAGGTAGCAGCTACAGTCGGGTGAAGTTAGCCCCTGGTGAGCATGAAATTATCGTTCAATTGGTTGGTTTGAAAGACTTATTCAAATGTTAAAGTCCTGGTTAATGTTGATCGCAATATTTGTGTTGTGAATTAGTATCTGACAGGTCAGTAGAATTCATGGATTTCTTCGGAAACTTGGTGGAGCATTAATATGTGATCAATCAAAACACATTAATGTTCGGAACTAGGGTTTCGCTGTTTAAAAGCCTTAGTTGCGTATTGGATGAATATTAAGACCAGTATTTTAGAGACTATTAAGTAAACTAATTCTACTGTAGCCATCATAACCAGCGATCGAGACTAGTTAGCTAGGATAACATCTATACCCTAGAATCTAGCTAATATATCAACCAAACTTACTATTAAGACCGGGAGACCATCCTTAAAGATTTTCAGAAATGAACCATCAAGTTTAACTGGTCTGCCAAACTTTAAACTATCCATAGCTCGTACAACTTTAACAAAACAATGTCATTCTACATTAGTATCAATAACCGGTGATTGGTCTAACTCAGGTTCGTAGTTTTTGACAATATAAATTAAAGGTTTCCTGAAACTTCCAACATTTCAAAGTGTGAATATATAAGCAACTACTCCACATATCCTCTAACCACAATAGATCAATTTAATAATTTAATCCATTTACAAATGTAGTGAAAAACACGGGTTATGTTGTGGCCCTGTATCTGACTCCAGTTAGATCGATCCGCTGATTGCTATCGAAATATACATTCTGGCTACCCTCGTACATAACTAACGACTTAACTCGCGTTAGTGAATAACGAAACTAAAATAAACCAAACACAAGAATGGATTTTAAATACGTATATTTTATACAATCGTTGATCTGAACGGACAATTAGGGAAACGAAGCGAAACGGATCGGAGAAAGCATGTGAGACAATTCGATTCAACCAAACGTGACTCAATATTTGTAGTCAGACAAAAATAAGTTATGGACATATGATGAATAGAGTAGACAATATACTCACACAGTCATATAAAAAGTCAGGGTTAATAAGCGAATAAGTGACAAGGTCAAAATGTAGCTGGAGAAGAATGAATGGATTGGTCTGTCCATAAGCTAGAATAGTCTGGCTTGATACAGCACTAGTCACTACAACGTATAACTTAGGGAGTGGTGATTTAGTGACTATATTAATCGGCTTTTAATCAGTGGGTTGTGGGTTAGATCCTCCCTCCATCTACTTTAACTTAGGCACTTAGGTAGACGAAAAGAGTTGCTAAAAACCGTGTATGACAAACCTGTGTTGAATGTGTTAATTGTACTGAACTATAAGCCACATATTGAGTGAGGAATGATATTATTCAGCCTCAAAAACTTCTGTAGATAAATTGAATTTTAAAACTCAGCTCCATTAGTTGAATGTTGGCTAATATGATATTCAACCGAAACATTGCCACAAGAGTGTTTTGAAAATGAACAAGAAACAACTGTTAAATTAACCGCATTGGTAGTGACTGTCGATATTTAAAGGGATTCCGGATAGAAAAATAGAGGGACTTGGGATTCACCTATTTAGTTTAATATAACGTAAACAAGAGCATCATATATTCTGAACAGATGAATAGATGATTAAATTTTAAAGTGAACATACAATATGAAATAAATGGGTGTATTTTTTTATGTACAAAGTATATATAATACTAATTATCAAATAAACTCATGCACAAAAACGCCCGAGAACGTGAGAAAAAATTTCTACAAGGATTCATGATGTAGCAGACAAAGGTTCTTCTTGTATATTTTCCTCCACATCAACTTTATGAAGTTCGTTTTTTATTGGTTTTGTTCCTCGAACAATATTACCACTATGGTCAACCACGAAGTTATAATCAACAACATCATAATTCATGATTTCTTCAATTTTATCATCTAAATTTGTTTCCGTAATCATCTGTCCAGTTAACATCTGTAAAAAAATAAGTGTGGTAGTCAATTATAATTCCAAAGGACTAATGCAAAATGTCATTTTATCTCTGGTATCCCAACATGAAAGGTTCTTCGAAAATTTATGTGATCATTAAGATAATTTTCAGAAAGACTATAAATACTTTAATGGCGCATTTAGAGTAATGAATTAGCTTTTAAAACTTAACTTTTCATTTTAGTTTAGTGAACTCAGACCATGCTTTAACTACTTCCGGTTGGGCAACTATTTATCATAACTAACCTTCATATAAACGTACTGCTTATACTTGATTACTTGAACTCGATTGCTGAGTTGCACCAGCTAGTTTGTGAAAAATGACAGACAACGTTAACGAGAAATATTTACATATTTATTTAAACACAAAGATTCAGCACAAATGGACATGAAAATAAATATGCCACACACAAATGTGGAAATGAGGTAGTGAAGAGACAGAGGAAGGATAGTGAGTATAATATAAAAAAAAAAACAAGTGAACAGCAATAAATGAACGAAAATAGTAAATAATGGGAGAAACAGTTCAGTTGAGGAAAACATAACCAAAAAGAATCATTTCAGCTAAAGAAATCGCTTTCAAATTTGTGAATATGGAAGAAAAATGTAGCACGATAGACATTTATTTCTATTTTGCGCCATGTCTGGTAACATCTTCAGCTCTGAGAAATCAGGTTTCCCAAGTACATATCAGAAATGCTTTCACCGAAGCATTGTGAATCGAACCTTTTACAACCAGACTTACACCACGATGCTGCTAAGATAGCCCGGACTACAATAGGCCACTCTGATTTTTACTATACGTAGATTGATCTCAGCTGACACATCACCACGACATACACACAGCTACCCAGATACAGAAACTTTTCGGCTACATTTAACGGCTTACAACTAAGGGTGAGTGCAGGCACAGGTTCCTACCAGTCTTGTAAAAGTACTTTGAATTTACGTGTGGATAACCAAAAATAGACATAGCTTATTTACACCGTACCTAATGTCGGAATACGTGTTCTACTAAAGAGGCATCAAATACATACATAATGGTAAAAAGAGGCATCAAATACATATGCGCCACACAAATCTCATTCGATATGTGTGAGGGCTGTGATACTGCCCGGGTGCCCAAATCGAAGCAGGTGGTTCTCTTAGAGGGCCACACCCCGAGCCTTCGACCTGAAGGTCTGATCCACAAGGCAGTGGAGCATCGTAAGGAGATGCAGTCCCATGGAAGCCGGTGACCAACAATTGGTTCATACGCCATTTGTTTCCGCAGGATACTGGAGCCCATGTGCACCATTGGTTTTGAATCCGGTTAAAGCGCCGGACATTCGCTTTTCGTCCTCTCATTTTCGTAAACAACACCCCCGCTTAATATACACACCTATATTTAACAATAAACAATCAAACTTACAGCTACTGTGTCAAGGTCAGCTTTTAATTTGTCTGATAACTTTGCTTGTTTATTTTCAAAATCAATTAGTCTATCAGTTTGCTTATCAATCAATGCTTTTAAGAGCCTTTCAAATTTATCTGTGGCTAGTAGAAAGGTCTCTTTGTTCCAGGTTTCTGTTAGCTCATGACGTCTATTACGCTCATGTTCATGATCTATTCGTGAGGCAGAAATAGCTTCCATTTGATGACGATTGATTTCATATCGAAAAAGACTCCTAAAAGCAAATGGGTGGTAACTACTAGACTAACCTGACGGCTTCATACTGCAATCGGTAATCAACCCACCATTTTTTGGAAAGTGCATCTTCCACTGGATCAACTGGGGTAGGTTGTCGTACTTTTAGAAATTTTCCTGTACAGAATAATGCATTCTATATAACACAAACCTTTCGCTTTTTGATAAACGCGAGGGTTTTTTTTAACCCGCTTGTGTCCCATATCAACTAAAGTTTTAGCAAGAACTGGTAGCTTTGACATTATATAGGACCAAGAGCAAATGAAACCTGAAACAAATTCAAATATAAATACTACGCAACCTTGATCTAAATATGCAAAACTCTCTAGTCTATAGTCATTTACTGAAAATAAAATTGCCATTATTAGTACCGAAGATTAGACCTTTTTACCCAACACGATTATCTTCATTTCACTATTTTGCAACGCCGAAAAAATGTTAATCCAGTTTTGTTAACACAGTTCATAAACTGGAACTACTAGGCACTGAGACTAACTTCACTCATGGTTTACTCATTTAAGCTAAGTATGAATTCTAAATTTCTATTCATAGCAACTCCAGAGTTAGCCTAACACAAACTCAACCATAATTTTATTACAAGTCTAAAGTTTGATCAAATTTACATTATTATAGTTAATTTCATCACATATTGATCGTAAGACAAAACCATAGCTTTTTATAGTCCGCTAACTTTTGAAATCGAGTAGAACAAGCGTTGGCAAGCTCTTGGCTTTGAAGGATGGTCTTTTTACTCGGACTGATGGAAGTGCATGAGCCTTTCAAAAGTTCGGGTTAGAAAGTTTCAACATAATATACAACTGATGTTGACGGTTGCAGTTCTAATTCGAGCTTTAAAAAACTGCACTAACTGGTTAGTTTTACGTAAGCAGACTCACGAACTTTGGGTCAAACACTTGATAGGATAACATGTAAATTAATATATCGGTTTACTTGAGTTCATACGACTGTACGAGATTTTGAAACCATATGAGGAAACTCCAGTAATACCCACAAGTATGTATACACACATAAACTTGCGAAATAACCTTCACGTAGAAAGCTCCTCAGTTAATCCCGTGAAGTTCATTCAATACAAAACATTAAGACAGAAATTAAAATCCCCCCAGATACGAAATGTTAACTTAACGATACTGACTACGAGATATTCAGTCATGAGCTGTGAAATTCAGCCCTAATACTTGGTGCTACCTCTGCCTAGGTAGTTTCGGTTAAGTCTTCAGCTTGTCTTTGTTGGGAAACAGAGGTACGGAACAAGCACTCAAACAGTTAAGTTGCAGCATTAGGGTTATCGGAATAAATACCATCGTAAAACCACGAAAGAAACGATTCAACTCTCAAAAATGGTCCACTGATATACATTCGTAAGCTGTTTTCAACAGGTAGTCGGTCAACTTATTAGATGATAAAATACATTAACGCCTTGAAAATACAGTTATTTCGCAAGTTAGAGAGCAGTTTTCTAATGATCATAATTATTGATAGATACACATGAAAGGATGAGGATGAAAAAGTAGAGAGTAAACTACACTACCTTAAGGACACCGAGACTTTCGACAAAATGTGCGAAAGTACCGTATCATTGAGTTTTTCCGCGTAACATTCAGATTCAGATTCAAATGGTTGTGGACGGAATAGAAGAAGCTTTCACTTAACAGGCTTCCGTGTCTAGTAGCAGGGGATCGCCAAATCCTCCAGGCAGGAACCTAGGTATGTTAACAATAAAAGAGGAAAAGAAATTAGTAAATCATAGTGTGATACTATCCTTAGTCCTTAAGAATAGATCAAGTTGCCTCTTAAAGGACTCCTGGGAAGTCGGTTGGACTAGCTCGGCCGACAGCGAATTCCAGCATTTGACAAACCTTAAGGGGTAGAAGTTGTGTCTACAGTCCGTTCTGCTATGTTGTGTCTCCAGTTTTTGGGAGTTACCTCTCAGGTTAGTGTTGGAAGTAAGCTTAAGTAGGTGTTTGAGAGAATGTCCAGAAGTGTTAAGGATACTATAAGCCATCAGAAGGTCACCTCTAAGACGTCTATACTCCAACGGGTAAAGGTTAAGTGAATGGAGGAGCTCTTAGTAAGGTTTAAATTTCAGTCCTCGAACTGATTTCGTGGCTCGCCGTTGGATACGCTCCAGGGTGTCCTTATCCTCTTGGAGTGAGAGGGAAATACTATGTTTCCGTACTCTAAGTGGAGAAGAACAAAACTATTGAAGATTATATGGAAAGCTCTTTGATCAAACTGGCCAAAAATGCGCTTCAATGTTACCAGTGCAAGGTTTGCTCGGAAGGCATTTTTGTCACAGTTAGAGTAAGACTTTAAATCGTAGGGCACCAGGACTCCTAAATCTTTTTCCATTTGGTATACTACTAGAGAAGAGGTACCTAAGTTATAACTGTAGTCTGCGACATGTCGCAGATGGACTACTTTACACGTTGAAGTGTTAAAGGTAAGTCCGTTATCGTCTGCCCAACTTTGAAGTCGAGTCAGATCCTCCTGAAGTGCCTGTATATCGTCCTGGTTGCGTATCTCTCTTCAAAGTTTCACGTCGTCGGCAAAAAGTAATAAGTCTGACGTTACTTGTTGAGGAAGATCATTTATGTAGATCAAGAAGAGAAGAGGCCCTAGTAATGAGCCCTGGGGTACCCCACTAGGACACTCCATAGCCTGAGATAAAGTGAAATTAACCCTGACCTTAAAATGTCGATTTTTCAGGTATCAAGTGAGCCAATCGATTAGAGGTGGTCTGATACCCAATCGTTTGAGCTTATTGATAAGACATGTATGGTTAACCTTATCAAAAGCTTTTGAGAAGTCTAGGTAGATGATATCAATCTTTCCCTTGTGATCAAGGATGCTTGTTCATCTGTCCACCGCAGTCAGCAGGTTGGTAATACAAGAGTAACCCTTCCTGAAACCATGCTGTTGGAGTGAGAAGAAATTTAAGGACAGTAAATAGTCATTTATACCATCGCATATCAGGGACTCCATGATTTTTGAAGGTATGGAGAGAAGAGCCACTGATCGGTAACTTGAAGGTTCGCTGCGTCGACCTCCTTTGAAAATTGGTGTGATGTGAGCCAGCCTCCAATTTTCCGGTGGTTTTCCTCGACTTAGCGAGTGTGAGAACATCACGCTAAGCGGCGTTGCCAAGATTGAGGCTGCTTCCCTCAGTATGGCGGAATGGACCATGTCCGGGCCAGGAGAAGTGTCTAATATTAAGTGCTGCAGTTTCCGGAACACCAAGTCAGCGCTTAGGTTCACTTCGGAAAGTTCTGTGGAATTGCAAACCAAACTGTCATCGGTAATGTTAATGTCGGTCGGTTGAAATGTCTGGGAGTAATGTTCAGCCAGAAGGTTAGCGGCGTCGCCATCGTTGTTGGTTTGGCCGTTAAGACCTACCAGTTGGGAAACTCCAGTTTTGGCTTGACGAAGAGAGGCTGCATAACGGGATAAGCCTTTAGGATTGGAGGCAAATTTGTCCATAGGCTTTGTCTGGTACTGAAGCCTATCTTCTCTTACAACTAGTGCTTCTAAATTGCTTTAAGAACTGTTTATCGCCTATGATCTATTTTTGGTTAGTCTGTAGTGGCATTGAACCATAACCACACAATCTTCAAAGCTGAACACAAGACTACTCTGAAAAAGATATTCAATATTTATCGCGGAGAAATACCTAACGATGGAAAAGGCGGGAACAATGAATTTGATGAATTGGAGTTGATCGGATGGCATGGCTCGGCCATGCAGGCGTGGTCCCTATTGAATGTTACCTTAAATCTTCTATTGATATTAAATATATTGTTCTTTCTCTAGCCTAACCTTGTTCTACATCATGTATTGGTAATTGATACGATAGTGAGTTGGTGTAGTCGAAGGTGTGAATTCTACGTAAGATCTCATAGATTAGGCAGTTATATCATGACAAATCTACAATTTTAGGATTAGGTCTATCATTAGAGCAGTACTAATATTATAGTAGAACATAATTCTACAAGTCGAAGAGCGTCCTTGTTTACAAAAATACATGATTTCGGTCTTGGTTCTTTCAAAAAAGATAGCCGAACAATTAAGTTAGTGTCATTAATGATAGAGGAGTAAAATATCGGGTATTCCTCCTTAGTCCCACAGCATCAAATGAATCTTCTAACCTCCTTCTTGTAGATGAAGTGAACGCCCCCGTCGTTATGACTTTCGGTGGAGGATTCCATAACTTATTGATGTGTCGGAGAAATACCTACAATTAAGTCTGATAATGGCGGCTTGTCTACGGATCGTGTAGTTACTGAGAAAGAAGCCGCTGTAGCGGTAAATAAATCCCCAAAATAAACAGCCCTGTGAGTCTTCAACATTTAATGCTGATCTCATTAGTTTACTGGACACACCTCCCTCAAGGCTCTCGGTCACGCATCCACACCAGAGCCTGATCAGTTACACCGTGCTACACATCCCTTCCAACTATTAGCCAACATAGACCATACTCATAGCCTTTTAAATGCATCTTCGGACCTCTTAATTTCTGACTTCTGACTTGATTGGGTCGGCATACTTCGATTATAATGGTGTTACTGGTAAATTCGTTGTCGAACTGCGTGTTATAACTTGTGATCTTGTGCACCATTAATATATAACATAATGATACCGCCAATTAGTGAACAGCAACTTAGCGACCGGATCAATGGCGCATAAACCCGTACGAGCAGTCTAGTGTTCTTATCGGTCCTTCTCCCTTCCCAGCCCTGCCTTTTGAGTCCAGAACATCAATCTCAGCCTCCGCGATACGGATCATGTTTTTCAATCAAACAGACATCATCACATCACAAAGCAAAAAATTACATTTTTACAAGATTTAGCCAAAGATGAATGTAATCTTCGTAGACCTAAGTGAAGCTTTTAACAAGTTCTGTCACACGAGTATTAAAACTGGAAAGTTTTGGGATTCATTATGAAATCGTATACTGGATAAATGACTTCATCAGTGATAGAAGACAAATATTCTGGATAAATTGGGCTCTATCAACGTGCGAATTTGTAAAATATGTATTTTCCTGATGTACAATCCGCGGTCCCCTTTTTTGTCGTATTTAAATGACTTACACACTGTAGAAAAGTCATCTCTTCTACTGTTTACAGTTGACACAGTCTTTTGGAGACTCTTACACAATGTGTCAAATAGAGTAATATTACAGGAAGGCCTAAATTCACTGATTGTATAGGTGGGTAAGTT